CTTCGGACCCCTGCAGTAGGTGCCCGCCTGGATGCTGTTGATGTCCGATGGAGAGGCAGACTGCCTGGCGCAAGGCCCTACCCAGAGACTCCGAAACCCCTTAAAATAAGGAATATACCATACATGACAAAGGAACCCCTAATATGATGTAAGGCACGTTCCTTAATTAAGGGGTCTTGGAGTCTCTGGGCAAAGCCTCAACTGGCTGCGGGTTCAGGGTTCAGGGTCCAGGGTTTAGGGTTCAGGGGTGAGGGTTTAGGGCTCAGGGTTTAGGGCTGCATATTCCCTCCAGTCGAACCCAGAAGCAAAAAACCGGAGAAGGGGCACCCACAGGCGTCCTAACGTTTGGGGTTTAGGGTCTAGGGATTAGGGTTTAGGGTTTAGGGTTTTGGGATCCAGGGCCTACTGCAGCTCATATAGGGGTGTTGAGTTGTTGAGAAGTTGGTTTGGGGGTTTAGGGTTTTGGTATAGGGTTCCGGAAACTCTGAAAGTTGGTTTGGGTAGGGTTTAGGGTTCTTAGTATAGGGTTCCAGAAACTCTAGAAGTTGGTTTGTGTAGGGTTTAGGGTTTGAGTTTGAGTACGGCGTTCCTGAAACTCTAGATAGACCCCTAAACCTTTCTTGTGGTTCAGGCAGGATGGACGACGTTCGTGGACCTTGGCATATGGCTCGAGAAGGGTCCTTTCAATATCCCAAATGATCAGGTGGCCCCAAGTGAACCACCTTATAAGGGTCACTTGAGGGATAATGGGCTACTTATAACATCTATGCAACTATATATAAGTCTAAAAGGTTGAACGGACATATAAGCTTGAGGGAAAGGAGGCGGACCTTCTGTGCAGGATTCTATAAAGAGGATTAGCGTTCTTTGGGTAAATGAGGGGTCCCAATTTTTTTTGGGAGATGCACATAAACCTCATGAAACCTACCGTGACGCCGTAGTCGCCCCTGATATGAACCCTGAAGCCTGAAGCCTAGACCCCTATTCACCCCGTCCCCACCCCAACATTACAAGGAAATAGAAACCCTAATCCGAGCACCTGTTTATAATTAATACCTCCAAATTAAAAAGACTTTTTTTCGTCAAGAAGCCCGCCGGAAGAGTACTTTCCATTGCGGGGTTTTTCGTATGGGCTAATACAACCACATTTAAAAAAAACAAGCATGTGTTCGGGTGGGTTCAAAATCTGTCGGCAGGCTTCTTGCTTTGCGTGCTGAGCTGCGAAGCTACAGCATTTCAGGGATTTGCAGTCTTATTATTGCGGTGCCCTGCCTTTCTTATTGCGGTTGGGGGGGGGGGGGGCCTAAACCCTAAACCCTAACTCCCAAAGCCATCACGCAGCGCCTGTCCAAGCATGCCCGCAGTTCGTGGAGGCGACGCTGCTGCGCCTGGAGCGCCGTGCTTAGGGTTTAGGGTTTAGGGTTAGGTTTACAGCTTGCGGTTTAGGGTTTAGGGTTTAGGGTTTCGGGTTTGGGGTTTAGGGCTGAGGGTTTTGGGTTTAGGGCTGAGGGTTAGGGCTAGGCGGGGCCATAACAGACCCACGCTTTTTCGGCAGTTTAGCTCTGTTGCCCTCAGAATCTCCTGTAAATACCGATGTTTGCGGGGTTTCGCCCATCACCCCATCCCCAAAATTTTTATCTAAAATTATCCTGCATTTTTTGGGAATCCGTAGACTACACTGGTATTTGTGGTTTTTTTGCACTACTTCGCACTTTCGACGTGTCCTAAACTAAGCCCTGTCTTGTTTGCATCCGCTTCTGCCCAGCCCTGGGTCCAAATAACACGTTTGCTTCAGCATAGTTAGAAGAGAGCATCCATGGCCCAACCATGATGACGTTCATAGTCTAATCCGTTCTGGGAAGAGATCATCCATGGCCCAAGCATGATGACGTCCATGGTCTACTCTGTTCTGATGAGAAGAGAGCATCCATGGCCCAAGCATGATGACGTCCATGGTCCACATGTTTTCTGCACTGCCATGGCCCAACCATGATGACGTCCATGGTCTACTCCGTTCTGGGAAGAGCATCCAGGGTTCAAGCATGATGACGTCCATGGTCTATTCTGCTCTGATGAGAAGAGAGCATCCATGGCCCAAGCATGATGACGTCCATGGTCTACATCGTCTAATCCGTTCCGAGAAGGTTAAGCCTTCTTCTGGGCAGAAATGGCTGGAAGTTCTTGCTTGTAGGCGCCCTGGGGAGCAGAAAGGCGTCATTTCTCAACACTAAAGGCTGTGACCTAAGTCCTGCATGTCAGGGATGCTGGTGGGGCCACAGTTTTGCGCCGGGTCTGTTGTGGACCCGCCAGGGGTTAGGGCGTTGAGTGCCTATGGCCTGCGCCCCGGGATGATACTGCATCTGGGGGCTTGTTGCGTGGACAAAAGGGGTACGCCGATGCTGTCTTTCGGCGCCCTGAAGGGACTGTAGAACTGTAAAATCTATCTAAATCAAGCCCACTTGGAGGTTCATGGTACTTAGTAACGAAATAAAGCTGTACGTATAACTGTACTTATATAACCACATTAGGGCACTTGAACCTCCAAGCAGTAAACCCTAAATAGAGGGCATGTGTTACAAACCATGTAGACTTATGGGTGTAACCGGGTTCCCGGTTTATTGGCGACTTTTGGTAGTTGTTAGTCAGTCTCTTTTTTTTTGGGGGGGGGGGGGGGGTAGAATACAGGGCTGTGTTGCACTAAATCGGTCACAGAGTCACCTAGGAATGAAAAGACGTACCTTTTGGTGTAGTTAGTAGGATTCTAAGGGAACCTGCCCAGCAAAAGAACGTGAAACTTCTATGGGTCGTTTCGGATATGGGGCTTCGGCTTTTGTTTGGAAGGTATGATATAAGATTTGGGCGCGTAGAAAAAGACAACAACGACTTCCGAATGCATCCTTATGATGTCTACGTTAAGGGTACTTAGTTACATGGTCTCTTAATATGGGCCCTTTATTAGGGGATCCCTATGTAACCCTTATGTACGCTGCAAAACCCAAGGACCCAGACTCCAGAACCGTTTCAAGAAGGTAAGGGACCACGTCAAGGGACCATGCAACCTCCCCCCCCGTAAACCCTGCTAGGCCCTAAACCCTAATCCTAAACCCTATATAAACCCTAAACCCTAAACCCTAAGCCCTAAGCCCTAAGCCCTAAGCCCTAAGCCCTAAGCCCTAAGCCCAAAACGCTAAACCCTAAACCCTAATACAAGTGAGTACCCCAAGCCATGCCCCCAAGACCATAAGCCCTGAGTTGAAGCCCTGAGCCTTTGCAAGCCAAACCCCGAAATTCAGGGCTTAGGGTGTTGGGGTTTAGGTTTAGGGTTTAGGGTTTAGGGTTTAGGGTTTAGGGTTTAGGGTTTAGGGTTTAGGGTTTAGGGTTTAGGGTTTAGGGTTTAGGGTTTAGGGCCTAGGGTTTAGGGTTTAGGGCTTGGGGTTTGGGGTTTAGGGTCCTTCAGGGGTCTAGGGTTTAGGGTGCCAGGATTTAGGGTTTATAATAGGGTCACTGAGGGTTTAGGCTTTAGGGTTTAGGGTTTAGGGTTTAGGGTATACTTCAAAGATCCTGGGTTTGCAAGGGCCGGTGCCTCTGCTTGCTGCACAAATCCGCCCTCGGGCGCCCGAAATGTGGCGGCGCCTGTAACTCACCCTAAGCCCTAAGCCCTAAGCCCTAAGCCCTAAACCCTAAACCCTAAACCCTACGCCCTAGTATAGGGTCTGGGGTCTTTCTGCGGTGTCATTCTAATCACAAGCCGTGTACTAGCCACGTTGCCCCTTCAACCCGCTGAAAGTCATTCCCGAACAAGATCGACTAAAGTCCTGAAAAGGAAAATGTATGAAATGAGACCAGGGGCCCCCCTCACGATGCCCAGCCGAGGCCGGTATAGGGACCCCGCCCCCGCCTGCGCAAACCCTGATCCCAAAATCGCTGCAGAAAAACGTTCACGGGATCCAGGTTTAGGGTTTAGGGTTTAGGGTTTAGGGTTTAGGGTTTAGGGTTTAGGGTTTAGGGTTTAGGGCTTCGGGTTTGGGTTTCCGGCTCAAGGTTCTAGATTTTAAGGCCAGGTTCAAGGTGTTGCGAAGTGGATTTAGGGTTTAGGGTTTAGGGTCTGTTTACAATTAAAACTAAGCCTGCGCTGGGCGTGGTGGAGGGGTCAGCTGCCATCAAGAAGGCCACCCTTCTTTCCGCGGATGCCTAAACCCTGTAAGCCCTGTAAGCCCTGTAAACCCTGTAAACCCTGTAAACCCTGTAAACCCTGTAAACCCTGTAAACCCTATAAACCCTACAAACCCTATAGACCCTATAAACCCTATATAAAACCCTAAACCCTCAACCCTGAGCCCTAAACCCAAAACCCAAAACCCCAAACCCTGAACCCTAAGCCCCAAACTGGCCATTTTGTTGTACTACGCTCCCTCACCTGAGCTGCCCGTCAGCCGGTGGAACTCTCTCGTCAAGTCCTGGCGGAAGTTCCATCCGAACCAGGCTTTGAGGATACGCGCCGGCCTACATGAACCGAGGCCGCGGGTTTCGCCGGGCTCCTGTAGAAAATTAGAAGACCTAAGCCCTAAACCCCAAACGGTATATCGTTTAAGTGTACTTATAACCATCTTAGGGCACTTAAAGGGCTTCTAAGAGTACAGTCGTAATTGGTTGCTAAGTACCCCTAAGCCCTAAACCCTAAGCCCTAAACCCGAAACCCTATCTCCAAGTACAGTACATTGCGCAGGGCACATATACGGGGACATGGGGAGGGTTACATGGTTGGCCTTGGGCAGTTGGCTTGACTGGCGAGGCAGGAAGCCGTCTAGGGTTTAGGGTTTAGGGTCTTGCCAGCTGCTTCGCTCTCCAAAGGCATCTTAGCGTCTCCATCAAGCGACAACTATGAACGCCTGAAGCGCTCAAGCGGGTCAGACTTTTTTGGTCCTGCTGAGCCATTTGTGCAAGTGCCTTTCGAGGGGGGCCCTGCTACATAGAGACACAGATTTGCTTGAGCATTCCCATCATGAACACTTTCCTTGGCTGCACTCAGGAGGGTAGCTATATCTTAAACTTTTAGCTGCCTTAATAAGAAACCCAATAAACCCAAAAAAGGTAAGGATCTAAAGTTACAGTAAAGTACCACAACGTTTCCGTCTGCGCAAAAGTTGGAGTCGCACTCATCTTTGTTCGAACATGAGTCCCCGTTGGGCTTGAGCGCCTTCCCCATCGACGTCGCTTGCACGTGCTCCTTGATTGCCTCCCCATGACTGAGGCCCTGCTCCATCTCTTGCTCCTAACCAGGACAGGTTTTTCCTTCTGCAGGATATAGGTCTGGGAATGGGCTAGGCTGCGAGGCTTCCTGGCAAGCTCTGAAGGCGCTAGCAGCCCTACACCTAAACCTACCTGAAACTCTCATATTTCCTGCAGCTTCATGGGTTGTACTACTTAAGGGGTGGCCGTCTCCTTGATGCGAGAGCCAGCGACGATGTTTGCGGCATCGTCTTCGTTGCTCTCCTCCACGCGCGTGCTGGCTACCTGCGGCACCACACCCGCGGCAAGCAACGCCACGGCGATGAAGATGCTGCAACGAGACACCATGGCTTCGCACAAGTTGGGAATGCAAAGAATGAGTTTGGCAAAGAGCTTGTGGCTCGATATGCTCAATGCTGCAGCAGCCGGGCAGCATCTGGACAAGCAACCCTGGACAGCGTGTAGAAACTCAAGGGTGTCAACCCTCAACCCGAAGCCTTTCGGCACGAAATGGCCTCCAAGAATCTTATGTCATATGGCCCCTGAAAACAACTAAGCCTCAAAGCCTGAGCCTCAAAGCCGTATCTAGACCCAGGAGTAGCCTAGGAATAAAAAATGGTGCTCTTTTTGGCTTTGAGGGGAGTACAAGGGACCCCCAACCCTAAAACAGGAGATGAGCGCCTACTCCGGGTCCTAGTTATAAGGCCAGGCAAGCTCGCCCTCGTTCTTGAGGTCAGGAGCCAGAACCCGGAACCCTAAACCCTAAACCCTAAACCCTAAATCATGCCAGCCGGACCATGGCGCGCTCACATGGCCAAGCCCATGGCAAGTTTAGGACTCGGGGCTGGGGGGGGAAACCCTGACAGGACTGTACTTGTGGTCTTTGGGGTTGTAGGTCGGACTTTTTTTTTTTTTTTTTTTTGGGGGGGGGGGAGGGGGGGGAGGGGGTTCAAGGGTTTAAGGCTTAGAGTTTTGGGATTCCTGGTTCTTCTAGGGCTATTTGGAGGGTTCGGGGGAGATTTATATGGTTTTGGGCTTCAAGGTTTGGGTTTGGGGGATGTGAGACTCTCTTTACCTACAGTTTCATGGGCCATACCTACTAATTGAGTTACTACTAAGCTGCAGGTAACCCTAAAACCCTAAACCCTAAACCCTAAACCCCAAACCCTAAACCCTAAGTTCAGGCTTCAGGGCCTTTAGCTCCAGCGGCCCCGGAAGCAGAGGAAGCTGCCTGTAGTTTTGAACCAGCTGCCAGAAGCCCCCAATGCTAAGGGTGAGGTTTAGGGTTTAGGGTTTAGGGTTTAGGGTTTAGGGTTTAGGGTTTAGGGTTTAGGGTTTAGGGTTTAGGGTTTAGGGTTTAGGGTTTAGGGTTTAGGGTTTAGGGTTTAGGGTTTAGGGTTTAGGGTTTAGGGTTTAGGGTTTCGGGTTTAGGGTTCAGGGGGTAAGAAGCCCTAAACCCTGAAACGCAGCTCCGATCCTTGGAGCAACCCAGGAATGAAAAAGGGGCACTCATTTTTAAACCCAAAACCCTAAACCCCAAACCCTAAACCCTCAAGAAAAAATAAATAGAAATTGTATGTGGTATCATTCTGAATTTCCAAGTTATTTGTCTAAACAGCTGACAAGCTGAGTTTAAGTAAATTAACCCAAAACACTTCTGAGGCCAAATGCTCAATTTACTTAAACCTCTCCCCTCCCCCGCCTCCCCCCTCCCCTACTCCTCCCCTCCTCTCCTCCCCTCCTCACTCCCCCCAGATCTCTCCTCCCCAGATCTTTTTCCGAGATCTTCCCAGATCTCCTTTTTTTCCAGATCTCCCCCAGATTTCCTCCCAGATCTCCTCCCAGATCTCCCCAATCTGCCCGCACATCTCCTCCCAGATCTGCCCAGTGCCAGATCTCCCCCAGTCCCCTCCCAGACCTCCCGCATTTCCAGATCTCCCCCAGATCATTTCGAGATCTCCCCAGATCTCCCCCCAATACAAGCCCAGATCTCCCCCCCCACAGATCTCCCCAATCTCTTTCCAGATCTCCTCCCCACATCCCCCGCCGCCAGATCTCCCTCCAGCTCTCCCCAGACCCCAGATCTCCCGCCAAATGGGCCCCATTCCCTCACCCCCTCCCCCCCCCCCCCAAGAAATTTGAAACATAGTCTAAAAAACAAAACTGTCGGTCAAAACTTTCGGTCAAAACGTTTCGGTCAAAACTTTCGGTCAAAACGTTCTTGGGACCCAAACCCTATACAATTTCTATAAACCCCAAACCCCAAAACCCGAAACCCCAAACCCGAAACCCGAAACCCTAAACCCCAAACCCAAAACCCCAAGCCCCAAACCCGACTCTGGCTCCTAGTGTTAGAGGTCCCCAAAGTGCCCCCTAGTAAGGGCCTGGAAGAGTAGCTTACTGTCTTTGGGGTTTTCGGGTCTTTGGCATCTAAACCCTAAGCCCTAAGCCCTAAGCCCTAAACCCTAAACCCTAAACCCTAAACCCTAAACAGTGGGGGGTCGAGGCGGGGACCTGGGTTCTGGGTCATCTGGCGGAGCTACCGCGACTTAGCATTTGCAGATTCTTGCGTCTTCTGCGCGAAAGGATAAGGCCCCCCCTGCTTATGTGGTTTAGGTTTAGGGTTTAGGGTTTAGGGTTTAGGGTTTAGGGTTTAGGGGGATAAGGTTTATTGCACACCCCAGAGCCACTTCTCTGAGAGATGATGGGTTCAGGGTTTAGAGTTCTGCAATCTGCAATTTTTCCCCCGGAAAGACTCGAACACTGGCCACTTGCACTTCACGTTCCTCTTTTGTTGCCTCTAGGCCTTCTTGCCGCATCGCACGCAGGAGCCGGTTTTCCTGGCGGGGATTCCTATACCTGCAAGTCCAAGGTCTTCGTACCCCTAACCCTCAACCGTAAACCCTAAACCCTTTAACGGGTCCTTATGACCAGGTACCTCAACTTTCCATGTGCAATCGCCCTTCAACCCCAGAGACCCAGGGTTTGGGTTTCCTAGAAACCCCAGTGGTGTATCAGTCACCCCCCCCCAACAAAAGAAATGACATACCAAATAGGTTGGGATGTTCCCCCTTATACTAACAGTCCTTCATCGGGATTTGAATGGGGGGGGGGGGGGGTGCTATAATCCCCATGAAGGACTGTTAGTATAAGCCTTTAAGTAGGACTTTGTTGGGGGCACCCACGTGCAAGTGTGCCTTTTGAGACCAAAGGGCTGCCCCGCTAGCTTGCAAGAGTCGTGTGAGCAGAAGCTCTGAAACCGTAAGCAGCCAAAAGGGTACTGTAGGAGCGTGAATGATAAGAACAGGGTTTTTGGGGGGTTCTTGGAGTATATTTCTTGAAAGGGACCATGAGGGAATATTATTCGTATTCCCCAAACCCCAAACTGCTACCTCATGGGCAGACGAGCGAGATTTTCAAGGGGATGTCAGCTTGATGGGGATGCTGGGAACACTTGAAGGTTTTAGGGCCGGGGTTTGACTGGTATAACTCGACCCGAAACCCTAAACCCTAAACCTTAAACGCTCCTGTGTAAGTACCCATGGACCTTCAAGTATGGCATGATGCTTGCTAGCCCAGTAAGGCAACAACTTTGCCACGATTGTCCACTCTCTAGCGTTGAGGGTCGCGGCGTTGGGGCCTCGGGATTTCTAGGGCCCTCTCTAAATTCTTGTCACCCCTGAACTCTCAACCCGAAACCCTACACCCCAAAGCCCTTTTGCCCCTTTCCCTATTATTATTATTATTATTGTTTAGTATTCTTTTTGTTATTCTATTTACTAGATTTTTTTGGGGGGGGAGGGGAGGGGGGGGGGGGTTCTTGGTTCTCTTATAGAAGCAGTAGCCGCCCCCTCCCTTATTGAAGCTCTAAGAACCCTAAAATGTGGCTTCCCCCGCCTTGCCCTCTGCAAGCGGAGACATCACCGGGGAAGCCTTGCCGAATGATACATGCTCGCTTAGGGTTTAGGTTTTTGGTTTTAGGGTTTAGGGTTTAGGGTTTAGGCCCCTAATTGGGGAACCCATCTTTTCCTGGAAAACCCAACAGACCATACTTCAGAATCCTTTAAAGAAGGTAAGGGACCATTTTCAAGGGACCATGCAAGCGGGACTCAGAGTTGTTATGGTTTGAGGCTGCGCCTCAGGGCCTAAATCTAGGAGTTATACCTTGGACCCTTAAGGTTGTACCCTCGGGTTTTGGGGACCCTTTTTACAGATCCTCAAGGTCGTAAAAGGGCCATATTAGAGGTATCTGAAGGGGAACCTTTAGGGGTACGAGTCTTGCTCCCTTGACTATAAACCGTAGCCTAAACCCTAAACCCTAAACCCTAAACCACATAAGCCGAAGCGCCTGAAGCCACGGCCCTCGAGCCTTGCTCAGCCCCAAGCCACAATCCCGAAATCAAAGCTTCCCCCCCCCCCCCCCCCCCCCCCCCCCCCCCCTAATTGCGGGTGTAGGGTTAGGGTTTGGGGTTTGGGGTTTGGGGTTTGGGGTTTGGGGTTTGGGGTTTAGGGTTTAGGGTTTAGGGTTTAGGGTTTAGGGTTTAGCGTTCAGGGTTTAGGGTTTAGGGCCACAATCGCCCCAGATCGCTGCGCCTGCGAGCTCTCCGAATCCACGTCCGCCATGGACTGCGTCGGCTTGGGCTTCAGGGACGCAGCTGCCGGGGGCTGCTTGAATTCTGTCTTTGCCTTGGCAGGGTTTAGGGCTTGGGGTTTGGGGTTTAGGTCTAGTTCGAGTTTAGGGTTTAGGGTTTAGGGTTTGGGATTTGGGGTTTAGGGTTTAGGGTTTAGGGTTTAGGGTTTAGGGTTTAGGGTTTAGGGTTTAGGGTTTAGGGTGAGGCAAGCCGTGCTCTCTTGTCATATCATAGTAGAATTTTGGGACTTCCGTCAAAGAGTTGTTATTTCACGGTAGTGTCTTGCTCATACTTTCGGCTGAAGAAAGCATTTAGGGTTTAGGGTTTAGGGTTTAGGGTTTAGGGTTTAGGGTTCAGGGTTTAGGGAGCATCCCCCCCAAAACACGAGACCTAGACGTCCAATCACCAGCAATGACCTGTTGTCTTGGGTGCTGCTGCAAAGCAAGGGACTGACCCAAACACCCTCGTCTGCGAAAACCTGCAGGACCCAAACCCTAAACCCTAAACCCTAAACCTAAACCCTAAACCCCAAACACTAAGCCCTAAACCCTAAAGCTGCACGACAACCCGAGGCCCCAACCTTGAAATGCCTAGTTAAAGCTTAGGGTGCAGGACGTGACCTGTCCACAACAGCCAATTCTGGGGTCTACCCCTTGTCGGGTTTAGGGTTTAGGGTTTAGGGTTTAGGGTTTAGGGTTTAGGGTTTCGGGTTCAGGGTCCAGCTGTCGAGCATGACTTGTATGCGGAGTGCTGCATGCTGCATGCCAAGCCTTACACAAGCACAACTAATGCCGGAAACGCATTGTTCGGTCCTTTAGACTAGGATGCTCAGTAACCCAGGGTTAAACAGGGTACCCTTTTTTGCTTAAAGGGGTTTGTAAGGGAACCTAAGCCCCAACAAAAGGGAATAAGGGCACTACTGGGCATCCTAGTGGAGGGATGGACCATGGGAAAAGAGCCCCTCAACAAACACCAACAAAAGGAGGGTATTTTGGGGGACAGGAACCCTAAACCCTTTAGGAAAAAGGGGGCCTGCCCGTAAAACCGCGGGACAGGCATTTAACCCCGAAACCCTAAATCTGACAAAACTACTTGCCACATGCCTACACTCTGAAACCATCAAGCGCCCAAGGGCGTGATTTAAGGTCGAAGCTCTGGGGGGCGGTGGGTGAGGGTTTAATTCAAGGCTTGCGTTTGGTTGGGGTGCTTAGGATTAGGGGCGTGGGGTTTAGAGTTCAGGGCTGTGTGGAGTGGCGTCTTCGAGGTTTCGGCGTGTGCCAAGATTGGTGCAGGCAAGTCGCCGTCGCCGCCTGCTGCGTCGCTGCAGTCGTCACCTGCTGCATCGCAGGGTTTAGGGTTTAGGGTTTAGGGTTTAGGATTTAGAGGGTTTAGGGTTTAGGGTAACCTACAACCCAAAAAAACACCACGCAGACTCATGAGTCATGAGGCGGACGAGGATGGCCCCAACAATTCCCTGAAAACATGTTCCTGAATCTCATCCTCTTGAACTGAAAACATATTCCTGAATATGATCCTCTTGAACCATGCAATGTCCCAAGGCCGTGGTCGCCCTACCCCCCCCCCCCACCTCGACCCCACCCCCTCACCGATTTGTTCACTGCAACATCCGTATCCGAATGTTCTTTTAATAACAATAATAAAAATCAGAAATTTGAAGAATTTTCTGATGAAAATGATTTTACGGAATTTTCTGATTAAATTTAAACTTATTTGGGACGACTGTTTATGATGACATGTGTGACAGGATATGGTGCTGGCCGATGCTTGAAACAAATGCCTAGGAACTAGCTTTCCTGGCCAACCTCCCTGCTGCCCTAGACGTGCCTATCCGAAAACCCTAAACCCTAAACCCTAAACCCTAAACCCTAAACCCTAAACCACCACAGGAGCCCCTTGGGCCCTTCTGCATAGACACATGGCCACATGCATACATTTCATACATACCTGACTAACCCTCTGCAATTGGGATGCTCACCCTTACACTATCAGTCCTTAACAGGCATTATAATACCCCTGATATAATCCTATTAAGGACTGTTGGTATAAAGAGGGAACATCCCAACTCTACAACCCAAAGAAAAGGCAAGGTCCTTTCGTGATCGATTCACAATCTGTTTCAAAATGCGTACTCATTAGTATGGAAAGGCTTTGTAGCAGGTAGGGCTGAGGGCTCACTGCGCTCGGCGATCAGTGGTGTATTGTTGCTTCGTACAAGGAACTGAACATCAAAGCGCCACAAGCGCGACCACAGCAGCAACAAAAACACAGCTCTAAACCTTGCAAGACAAGGAACGAAAAGGACGAAATACCTAAACCGCACAGATAAAACTAGAAAGATCGGAAATTGATGTATCCGTACTTACAAGTACCCATGAACCTTCAAGTAGCCCTACACCCAAAAACCCTGGACCCTAAACGTAGCGAGTCATCGCCCCAACATTCAGTTGACAAAACCATAGCGAGTCACGGGCTTCTAGGGCGAAATCCGAAACCCTACAGGGAGATCAGTGCTTGCGGTTTGCGGTTTAGGGTTTAGGGCTAGGGTTTAGGGCTACTTGGAAGCTTTGCTTGGGTACTTATACGTCGGGTTCTGTTTGGGTACTTGTACGTCGGGATATAGGTGACGGCTCCAACCATAGCTACCCTGCTTCTCACCCTACTTCTACGTACCCATGAGCCTCCAAGTACAGGCCCTTTCTAAACCCTAAACCCTAAACCCCAAGCCCTAAACCCTAAATCTTAAACCCTAAACCCTAAAGCCTGCTGCAGCATCTCCGGCGACAAGAGATGCGCATCTTGGCCGCCTTAGTGAGGAGGCGCCCACACTAAACATGCCTCAACCCTCAATGCTCAAGGGTTTGGGGTTTAGGGGTTTAGGGGTTTGGGGTTTAGGGTTTAGGGTTTAGGGTTTCAACCCTAAACCCCCCGGTTCCTAGTGGGGTATGAGGGAAGTACAGCCCTTCATATATCCTTTAGGGGATTGTATAGGGTACCTCATTCCCTCCTTCCTTACGGGAAGAGCCAGCCAGTAAACCCTAAGTCCAGACAGAATCCTAAAACATGACGCCCCAAGCCCTGAGGCCCCCAAGACTGGGACTTCCCGGAAACCAAGGAATTTTAAAAGGGCCCCCCCCCCTATGTTTAAACTCCTACCAAGAAAAAGATGTTAGGAGCTCCTGAACCTCTATAAGCCCTGACAAAAACCCAAAGAAAAGGCAAAAAGAGGTACCCTGAACCCTAAAAATCCCAAACCTGGGATATCCTGTCACTTACCACGGCACTCCGGCCCTTTGAGGCTTTGAAGGCTATTCCAAAATAGGACCCTTGCAACCCCAAGCCGCGAAAGAGGGCTCAGGGTTTAGGGGGTTTCGAGGGTGGAGGGTTTTCTTTTTCGCTTTCTTCCTTGGGGGGGGGTTAGGTTTAGGGCAAAGTGTAGGGTTTAGCTGGTTTAGGGGGTTTAGGGGGTGTAGGGGGTGTAGGGGCTTTAGGGGGTTTAGGGCCACTTGCGTCACAGGTGCATGTGGTGTCGAGCACATGCTTTGCCTCGGCAACCTGCATTGTTTGAGGTTGCTTGGAGGTGGGTGCTTTTAAGAAGGGCTGGAACTAGTTAGGGTCACTAACCTTAGTTAGGGTACTTCTAACCCCACTCATAAGTACCCATGAACCTCCAAGTAGGCCTTATGGGCTCAGGGCTGCCCCTGAACCCTAAACCCTAAGCCCTAAGCCCTAAGCAAACCCTAAACCCTAAACCCTAAACCCTAAACCCTAAACCCTAAACCCTAAACACCTTAATTAAACCCTGATTGTTTGTTTTGTCGGGGGGAGGGACAGAAAAGCGCCATCGAAGGCTCGTGGCGAGCTGTCGAGGCTGCAGCTTCCCTAGAGAGAGACTGCGCTGAAGAGCTGCAAGGCTGCTTGTTTACATAGAGGTGGGTTTAGGGTTTAGGGTTTAGGGTTTAGGGTTTAGGGGTAGGGTTTAGGGGCATCAAGATTCGAGCTGATCTTCTAAGAGGTTTCCCTTAACATACTCCCACTGTGGCCCCTTACGATGTCCTTCGAGGATCTTGGAACAGGGCCCCCAAATCCAAGGGTGCAGCCCTAGGGGTCCGAGGCAGAGTCCCTTTGACTCGACCCTAGAGTAACTTAGGAATAGCAAGGGTGGCTTAGGGTTTAGGGTTTAGGGTTTAGTGTTTAGGGTTTAGGGTTTAGGGTTTAGGGTTTAGGGTTGAATAGCAAGGGTGCCCTTTTTTGGCTGAAAGGGGCTTCTGAGGGAACCAAAGCCCTAAACAAAGGGAATAAGGGCCTACCCTGGGTGCTATGTGCTTACCACGAGGCTTTGAAGGCAGGGATGACAAGTCCTGACGCCCTAACCCCAAACCCCAAACCCTAAACCCGAAACCCTAAGCCCTACATCCTAAACCCTAGACCCTAGACCCTAAACCCTAAACCCTAAACCCCAAACCCTATCCTAAACCCAAACCCTAAACCCTAAACCCTACATCCCAAGGCCTTCTCCTTCAGGAGCTGCGGCGAGTCGAGCAGCAGGAGGAGGTCCGAATTATCCATCCTCATGGGACTTGTAGCCCTAAACCCTAAGCCCTAAACCCTAGACCCTAGACACTAGACCCTCAACCCTAAACCCTAAACCCTAAACCCCAGGGCTCGCAAGAATCGAGGGTGTTGTAGAAAGTAGGGCTGCGTAGGGTTTAGGACGTGGAGGGTGTTGGGCAAAGGGAACCCCGAACCCTAAACTTCGTTTAGGGTTTAGGGTGTTGGGTTTAGAGTCACCCTAAACCCTAAACCCTAAACCCTAAACCCTAAACCCTAAACCCTAAACCCTAAACCTTAAACCTTAAACCCCAAACCCTGAACCCCAAACCCTAAACGAGTGTAGGGAAGCCCAGTCCCCAAATCCGAAACTCCCAGACCTGAAGCCGACAATCACGGAACCGTGAAAAGGGCGCTGTCCCCTATGAAGCCGAACTACAACCCTAAACCCTAAACCCTAAACCCTAAACCCTAAACCCTAAACCCTAAACCCTAATAAACCCTAAACCCTAAATCCTAAACCCTGCAAAGAAGTCACCTTTCTTTTGAGGAGGTCGTGCGCTGCCTAACAGCACGTCTCACCCAAATCTCCCAATTTAGGGTTCAGGGTTTCATGGTTTTGGGTTTAAGGGTTTAAGTTAAGGGTTAAGGGTTAAGGCTCCGGATAGTGAAATTCAGTTCGGTTAGATATAGGCTTTTGGAGAACTGGACACAAGAGCAGAGCAACCCAGGACGAAACACGGTGTCCCTTTTGGCTCAAAGGGGCTTAGACGGGATCCCGAACCCAAAAATATCAAACTTCGATCTTCTCTCGGTTGAAGATACGGCGCAGCAGAAACAATCTTTCACATGGTTTGGGTACAAAGTGCTTTGGGTTTAAAGTTAGGAGTTTAGGGTTTAGGGTTAGGGGCTTCGGGTTTAGGTTGTAGCGCACCCTCCAAACCCTATCAACAGCTTTGTATCCGCAGCCCCAAACCCTAAACCCTAAACCGAAACCCTAAACCCCTACGTAAGTCGAAAGCCGTAAAACCCTGAGTGGTGGGGCCGTCCACTTGGGCCCTGACTCCAGCAGCATTCCTGGGCACCAGTGGAGCTTCTGGTTTAGGGTTAGGGCTTAGGGTTTAGGGCTAGGGTTTAGGGTTTAGGGTTTCGGGTTCAGGGTTTAGGGCTTAGGGTTTAGGGTTCAGGGCTAATTAGGGTTTATGGTCTAGGGTACAGTATACAGTTTACTGCCTCGGCTGGGCTCAATGCTGTCGGGCGTAGGGCTTAAGGCTGAGGGTTTAGTGTGTAGGGATCGAAGGAGAGCGTCCCGTAGATTGATGGCCCCTTTTCTCGGAAAGGGTTTAGGGTTTGGGGTTTGGGGTTTGGGGTTTGAATTTTGGGGTTTGGGGTTTAGGGTTTAGGGTTTAAACACTTCCTGGTTCTTAGCAGGGAATGAAGGAAGGACGTACCCTGTGTAATCATGCAATGGGTTCCAAAGGGGGATACTTTCTACTCCGGATTCCATACCATCCCTGAAAGGGTATACCCATATGTATATATATATATACAGAAAACGTCGCACTGCAGGCCCGAGTTTTTCGTAGGTCAGTGTTTTAAGCTAAAACTATAAATTACATATATATATATATATATATGGAGGGAATACTACATAATCACTTAAAGGGCTACGTATATCTATATCTACGGGAAAACAGGTGCCTACTCGTTCCCTACTAAGAACCAGTAGGAGCACCTTGCGGGCAAGACTCCGGTGAGCTTGCCGGCGAGCAAGGGGTAGTACTGGAGCACTTGTGGAAACAGCCTGACATCTAAGCTCTGCAGAATTCTCAGTTTCAAACAGCCAAACTCCGCACACCCCCCTTAGCTCCCAAACCCTAGACAACCACAAGCCCTAACCCTGAAACTCCGAAACCCGCAAACAACAGGAAAAAAACCAAACCTTAAACTCCCTTACGCCTTAAACACAACTACACAAAACATAAAACAGACACTCACCAACTCGCATCTTGCAAAAACGGTGCCCTTTTGGGGTCAGTCACCTGGAACCCCGAAAGGGAAAACGTCTTAACCACTGGAATAGGGTTTGAGGGGGTCTAGTATAGTTACAAAGGGGACGATAAGGGAATACGACTACTAGAAATTATTCCGAACCCCTAAATTACCCGCGGGCTTACCAAGAAACCCTAAGCTTCTTCGAGTCATCTGTCCTCATCTCCAGACCCAACGGACCCTGAACTCACAGCCCATGTGACATGGGTTTAGGGTTTAGGCCTTGAGGTTGAAGCTTAGGGCATATAAGGGTTTAGGGTTTAGTAGGATTGTGGCAGTTCGGATTGAGGGCTTGCTGCATTGGCCTCTCCCCAATGATCTGCTTCTGGATCGCGAGCGGCTTCCCCGCGATTCCAACATACTCCTCGAGGATGTGACGGGCCTCGCTCACCTGTTTGGGGTTTAGGGTTTAGGGTTTTAGGGTTTTTGAGGTTTCGGGTCTAGGGTTTAGGGTTCAAACCCCAAACCCCAAACCCCAAACCCTAAACCCGATGAAGCCTTCAACAGGCAGACAGGCCCCTATCGAACAACTGGGTTCTGCGGGGCTCTACTATCACAGGATCCTTGGGGCGAGGGTTTAGGGTTTCGGGTTTAGGGTCTGCTAAACCCTGAACTCAAACCCGAGAAAACATGTCATAGGTCCTATGGTCTAGGGTACCAGGGGAGCCCGCAATAGCTGTAGCGGTCTTACACTACAACAGGCTCAATTCCATTTAAGCAATACTTCTTCAGGAAGGGATTAAAGGGTATTGGGCTCTCTAGGATAGCTTCTAGAACCCTAAACCCTAAACCCTAAAACCCTAAACCCTAAACCCTGTCTAGCAAATCTCGAAAACCGACGGCCTTCTGCTGGAGCTTCTCCTTGGACTGGATCAGTTCGACGATCTCCGAATTCTCCATCCTGCTCAAAGCCCGCTTTAAACCTATACCTTCCGCTTGGGGGTGTGGGGAGTGGGGCGCGAACTCCCCACATGATCACAGACCCACCCACTTGCATTATTCACTTCTCTGATCCGGCGTTACAGAAGGACCGAATGAAGCCCGATAAGCCCCAAACTAAACCCCCAAACCCTGCAACCCCGAACCCCAAACCCTACTGCACACCCATAGCTCCAAGACCCTCTCACCCTGCAGCCATGCAAACCCTATAGCCCTAAACCCTAAACCCGAAACCCTAAACCCTAAACCCTAAACTTGAAACCCTAACCTGGGGCCCCCTGCACCAGCAACAGCCGGCCTTGGGGCCCATGGGAGTCCAAGCTGAGCCCCATCATCATTTTGTTCGGGGAGTTGCTTCTCAGGGGTAAGGCGGACATGCGCGGGGGGGGTATCCCCCTGAGATGCTTCAGAAGAGTATAATCCTTATCGTAAATGTTCATATGATCATCTAAATATGTATATATATATATTATGGTAGCATACATATGTGAACATAGGAACACCCCCCCCCCCCCAAAAAAAAAAAAAACAAAAAAAAAAAAAAAAAAAAAATATACATATATATATATATATATATAATAATAACAATAATAATATTCATAACACCCTACTTGCGGAAACCTTCTGATATAGGGACAGAGGCATGGCTTCGGGGTTGAGCTTCGGAACGTTGCAGGTTGAGACGGTGGGGTGCGGTAGCCGTTCTCTTCTTTAGGGTTTAGGGTTTAGGGTTTAGGGTTTAGGGTTTAGGGTTTAGGGTTTAGGGTTTAGGGTTTAGGGTTTAGGGTTGTAGCCGACGCCATAACAGAAATTAAGCTAGACCTGTTGCTTGGGTACATGGGTGGGCAGGTCTCTGACATATGGTTCCTTTCGGGGGTCCTTGTTACAATATGGGCCCTCATGCCCTGTACCAGGAACACTTCTAGCCAACAAATACAGATCATGATGACTTTAATCCAAAACTGATCATGTGGCCAGGGTTGGAAGTAGAGTAAGTAAGGGTTTCAGCCTCACTAAGGGTACTTATCACCTACTTTTCAATACCCTACTTGTAGGTACCCATGAACCTCCATCAACTTGCCCCTACAAGAGACTGAAGGACTATCTGCAGAGCAAATATCCAGACCCCTTTTTGGCCTTTGAGTGTTGTGAGTCCAGTCGAGTCCTGTCCCGAAACCCTAAACCCCAAACCCTAAACCCCTAACCCCTGACCCCTAAACCCTAAACCCCAAACCCTAAACCCCAAGAGACGAACGCAAAAATCGTAGGGCTGGGCACCGAATCCCCATCAAAACCTCCCGGAGGTGCTCTTTTCAATAGGGCTAGGGTTTAGGGTTTAGGGTTTAGGGTGCGTGAGCCCGATTGCTGGCGAACTCTTCAAGCTTGAGCGGGGAAACTGCCTGAATATACGTCAAGCATCCGGTGATTTTCCCAGCCAGCACTGGCTGGTGTGCAGCCACTCGCGGAAAGAGCCTCCAGGCGGTAAGCCGCTGCTCTGCAAGTGTTTAGGACTTAGGGGGGGGGGGGGGGTTTAGGGCTAGGGTTTAGGGTTTAGGGTTTAGGGTTTAGGGTTTAGGGGTTTAGGATTTTAGGGTTTAGGGTTTGGGGTTTAGGGCGAGGGTTTAGGTTAGAGTCAGCCAGCTACCCTGTGAAGGCACAAAGCACGGAGGGCAACCGCACCCGTGATCCCACCTTGCACCTCAACAATTGTGTTTTTCTGCGCGTGTTCTCGTTTTTGGCAGCCCAGGCTTTATTGAGAAATCCTCAACCTTTAACCCTAAACCCTAAACTCCTACACCCCAAACCCTGTTTTGCTGAAAGCCGACGAGAGGGGGGTCTGTAACCCCGCTATTTCTTGAGCACTTGTACCCACGACAACCTGCATCCGACACCCCGCCAAAAAAAAACGAGCGGGACCCACGACTAAAAACACACGAGAACACGACAAGCAAATGCTGAACGCTGATGGCAGCGGTCTTTTTGTCGTGCGACCTGGTTCACGGCTCACTCTGTCGGAGTACCCATGACTACTCTTTGAGAGCGCCAGCTCACCTATCCAAGGTGAAGCCCAGTCCATTGTAGAACTGCGCAGGTCTCTCGCAGCAACTTCTTGGCGAGGCTGCTTTCGAGCATGACACGCTCCCTGGAGAGGGGGTATCCAACTGTAGACCTCACAGGCCAAACATATCCCAAGACCTTCAACTCGATTCGCCTGCACGCAAGCACAAGAATCCACAGCATTGTGAAGCCAGGAGTCCGTGGAACTGCCAGATATGCATGTTCATCACGCCCAGCTATGATGGAATGCCATCCACAGTAGTGCGGAGCCTTGACCAGCTCAAGCGTGGCCTTGCGCAGACGAGGTTTCGGGGAAGGGCACCTCTCAGGCTTCAAAATCGGACTCCCTCAGTCCTAAACGAAAAACACGCTCTCAAGGCATTGACGGGTTGAGGCTTTGCGACGGGCAAACGGTCCTCTTTCGAAGGCGACAAGGTGAGGTCCACCTGCTCCGATTCCTTCGAGTCGGTCAGGTCGACTGCCTGAGACGGTTGTCTCCGTCCCCTGGCCATGCGCCTGACATGCCCGAGATTGAGATTGGCTTGGGGTTAGGGCCAATATCGTTCGGGGGGGGGGGGGGGGGGGGGGCCGTCCAATAGAATGGCATGTTTGGGATCCAGGTGAAGTGCAGGTGCAGCTCGCGAGAACTGTACGTATGAACTGCATTCATTTCAGAGCGAGTACCAAGCTCGCGGATCTTCTTGTGGACTGCAGCGTTGGTCGAAGTTCTGATGGTAAGGCCCAACGTCCGTGCGATCCAAGCCACGTCCTGCAGCTTTAACACGCTGGAGCTCTTACGCAAGAACTCAGGCAAAATGCTCCAGAGCATGGCCTCTGCCCAGAACACTTTTTCACGTCTCACTCGCGAAATAGCCTCTGACAGAGACACCGACGAGAACCGAAGACAAGAATCAAAACATGGGCATCTTCCCAGCCTCCTCGTGCTCTGGACATGTTTCCAAAGCTCGGACACATGTCTGTTCACAGGCAGTCTTCGCTGCTTCAAACGCGTGTTTCACCACCGCACAGTCTAAAGCATATCCAACGGTCGACCTTGGGTGATCAGAGACGGTGGCCCATGTCGCTCGCCGCATCATGCGAACGAAGAAGTTACAGACTCTATGCAACAGAGTATCCGCGGGGTAGCAAGATATGCTTGCAAGTCTTCACTGGCATTTATGCAATGCCAGCCACAGAGACCATCCGGAGCAATTGGAAAGAGATCTCCAGGCAATATGGCCTGGAGCAGGAATGTCTTGAGGGCCATTGCTGCCTCTTGGCTTGGAAGCCAGGCCCTATTTCCCACAATTGTTTGTAACGACAGACACTGGCCACAGAAGCTGGCAGTACAGCATCAAATTTCGCCTGTTCAGCAACAGGAGATGCTTCGGCAGCTTCGGGCAGAGCCTCGCGCACAGGATCCGAACAATTGCTGGCAACCGTGGCTCAATGCAGGGTGGAAGATGGATGGTTTATTTTACGCATGAAACAGCTGGCCTCCTTCCGCAGCGGATCAGATGCACCGCTGCCTGGCGTAACCCCCGTGCAAACAAGACAACACTTCGCTGAATACAGACGCCTGCAGGAACGTCGGACTCCGTTGCCGAGCTGTCCAGTAGAATGGCGCCCTCGAGCGATTTACAACAACATATGGACTCACACGCGAAAAAGAATCGCTGCGAAGGGAAAGTCAAGTCCACCCGCAGCATCTGCCGGACATGAGTGAAGCAAAGTAGTGCGCTCGACAACGCAGGCTAGCGGAAGGGCTATACACAGCACCGACTCGCTTCTGGTCTCCGGGTCACGAACCGGAACGTCTTCAGCAAGTCTTCGCTTTGTACCTGGCCCAGGGCGTGGACAAACCACTTCTGCGGGATACATCTTGGGACCACATCGAAGATTCAAAAAACGCATTTTGGCGGCACATCCTGCTTTTATGTGGTTGGCCCTGCCAACCGCATCCCCCCAAACCGCCACCAACCATCCCCAACCCTGCTAGCCTCGCAACGTGCTACGCGAAAGTGGAGCAGGGGAGCACTTCATGCTCGTAAAGACAGGCCTGCCACACGCCGTCCATGGTGAGAAGAGCTTCGTGTCCTGCCTGGCCAAAGCGGTCACACACATAAAGCAGTCCGTACTCTTGTGTTCCTATTTCTTGAAGACAGGCCCGCCACACGTCTTCCACAGCTAGTGTGAGAAGAAGGGCTTCGTGTCCTGCCTGGCCAGACGGCTTTACACAATCCATGTTCTTATTTCTTGAAAACAAGCCCGCCGCACTGCGTCCACGGCTGGTCCAAGAGTCGCTGGAGTCGCTGCTCGAGGCCATTGCACTGATACAATGAACGTTGGTCTGGATCTTCTTTTAGTCCCACACAGATAGACTGTGAGTGGCTGCACGCAGCTCGGCTCTAGTTTGGACCCCAGTTGCAATGAACGTTGGTCTGGATCTTCTTTTAGTCCCACACAGATAGACTATGAGTGGCTGCACGCAGCTCGGCTCTAGTTTGGACCCCAGTTGCTACGAACCACAATGAGTGGCTGCAAACCCTCCCAGGCTCCTAAACTGGCACCTCCCAGGCTCCCAGGCTCCTAAACTGGCACCTCCCAGGCTCCCAGCGTTCCTAAACTGGCACCTCCCAGGCACCTCTCCCACACAACCAATAGAACCACACATCACACACACACACACACACACATTCGAGAGATGCCTAGATGCCTACTGATGCAATCATTACTGGAAAGGCTTCCACTACTGAAGCTCATGCACCCACTACTGAAGCCGTTGCACCACTCATGCCCACTACTGAAGCCGAGCACTGAAGCCGATGCACCACTCTCGTGCTGTTGTGATCAGGAGAGAAGCTTGTCGGGGGTACACCCAAACCCCAGATTTCTTGTCATGGGGTCTCCAGAACCTGTCCTGGGTACGGACCCCTGTTAGCCGACGATTCTCTGGGAGATTCTAAGGCAAGCCACTTGGGGGGTCAAGGCCCAATCTTACATAAAAGTCTTCAAAAATATCATAATAGGGCTTAGGGCTTAGGGTTTTCAAAACACTTTAACATACCGTAAACATATTCACCTGAGCAAAACAACAATGCGATATCAAATGAAGTATCTCGTAAACACGAAACGGAACATAAAGCACTACGGCAGATTTTGTGAAGCTCCTTAAGACGTCACCCTAAACGCAGCCGCCTCCCCCCCCGCCCCCAACCCGAAGCCCGGGCCTTTCTCCCAGAAATTGCTTTTGCAGCTCCGGCGGCTGTTCCGCGAGTTCATCCGCAGTGCAGGGAGGAGCCACTTCCTAGTTCATGGTTGGGGCAATATAAAAAATCCAAATTTCTATTCCTTGTTGGGTTTAAGGACCTTGAAGAAACTAGTTTCTATTCCTTGTTGGATTTAAGTACACGTAAACATGCAAAAATGTGATCCAACTATGACAAAGCTTCGTCGACGTGCTGCACGATGATACGTCGCGCCTCCTCGACCTGCTTGGCCGGAGAAGTTGTTGTTTCGGGGCTGTAGGGCTGCAGGGTTTGTAGGGTTTTGACAGGGTTTGTAGGGTCTTTATGTGGTTGGTAGAGTTTGTAGGGTTTACAGGTTAGAGGTTTTGCAGGGTTTGTAGGGTTTACAGGGTTTAGAGGTTTTGCAGGGTTTGCAGGGTTTGTAGGGTTTACAGGGTTTAGAGGTGTTGCAGGTGTGTGTGTGTGTGTGTGACCCTAAATAAACCCTAAACCCTAAACGGCAAGTCACATCATCCTGGGGCCAAAGCTCCACGTCACCACAGCTTTTGCAAAACCCCTGCTTGGAGGTTCATGGGTAATCATAATCCAAGTATAAGTCTACTTGCAACCTACCTGGAGGACTTCGTGGGCTTATAAGTAAGAGTCATAATTGGGGTTATAAGTACCCTGGACCTCCAAGTGCTTACATAACCGTACATATTACAAGTACCCATGAACCTCCAAGTAGGGGGCCTAAGGTTTAAGGATCCCTAAACCCTAAACCCTAAACCCTACAACCCTGAGAGTAGAAGGCACCAGCCTTGGTCTGCAGCAGCTGCTCATTCTCCAGGACCTCCAAGAGTTCTGGTTGCTGAAGCCTTGGTCGAAAACCCTACCCCCTAAACCCTAAACCCTAAACCCTAAAACCCTAAACCCTAAACCCTAAACCCTAAACTCTAAACCCCATTGAGGCCAGAGGCTCACATGTCCTTCCTCTTTGGGTGGCTTTCCCGGGTGTTGGGCAGCTGTGCCCCAAACTCATGAGCTGAGAAAGCCCTAGACCCTCAAACCTAGAACCCTAAACCCTAAACCCTAAACCCTAAACCCTAAACCCTAAACCCTAAACCCTAAACCCTAAACCCTAAACCCTAAACCCTACACTCCCAATCCCACGAGCCTAAGCACAGGGTTTAGCGTTTAGATCCAGTTCAGGGTTTAGGGGTTTATTGAGGTTATGTAGTTGGGGTTGGGGCCGCCAGTTCAGGGTTTGGGACTTCATGCGGGTTAATTGAGGGAGCGGCGTGAGACTGACACCCTAAACCACAAACCCCTAAACCCTAAACCCTGCACCCCGAAAATCCCACTAACCTTAATTAACAGAATATGAGTGTTGTACGTTAAAAGCCCGTTTAAAACCCTAGCTTATTAAGTGAACGGGCTTTTAGTACAGCATTTGTGTGTTCACTGGTGATGAAAAAGCCCTAATTACAATATCTTTTCATGGGGCTTTTCTTCACACGCATTAGAATTAGAATTATGCTATGCGGGCGAACTAGCGAGCGAAAATGACAATATGCCCACCAAATCTTATTACTACATTCGTGCGTCACTTTGTTCCTTACAATTTAATGTAACATTACATGGTCTTTTATTGTCTTATGGAAGGGGTGTATAGAAAAGATACGAAATCTGCCCCTCTAAAGCCCCAAATTGCCGTGCTTTGTTCAGTTCATTCATGCGTAAACTTACAATAAGCGCATGAAACGCTCACTTTATGCTTTCACCTCTGGATCTAGGATATAACCACAAGGCACGACACGTGGAGACCCTAAACCCTCAAAAGCCCTAAGCCCCAAACCCTTAACAGGTGAATTCGCCAACCTCGACAATCCCCGGTTGAAAGCATCCACCCCTTGCAAACTACTCCAACTTGTCTACCTGAACATCACAATCCCACAACCCCCCCCCCCCCCCCCCCAACCCACAAAAAAAAAAAAAAAACAACAACAACCCCCCCCCCCCCCCAACCCAAAAAAAAAACAAAAAACAAAAAAAAAAAAACACACACACACACACCAAAACGCCACAAAGACCCGAAACCCGAAACCACTCCCATGACAACCTGAAGCTAAGCCTCCGGGCCCAAGGAGCATGCCTGAGCTGTTTAAGAGAATGTTGATTTTTTGGGTTTAGGGTTTAGGGTTTAGGGGGGGGAAGTTTCGGGTTAGGGTTTTCGGGTTTGGGGCTTCGGGTGCGGAAGCGTTTACAGGCTTTGCAGACTGGGATCGGAAAGAACCTAGCTCTTGAGGCTCTTGAGGCACGAGCTCAAGGTTCGAAATCTTAACCCAAAACTTCGAACGATGTTACCAGTAGTCCCACACAAGCCCCTAAATCCCCAAACCCCTAAACTCCTAAACCCTTAAGGCCCTTTGCCCTCTAAACCCTAAACCCTAAACCCTAAACCCTAAACCCTAAACCCTAAACCCTAAACCCTAAACCCTAAAACCCTAAACCCTAAACCCTAAACCCTAAACCCTAAACCCTAAACTCAACTCCGGACTCTGGACGCCGAGAAGCCGGTGATTTTCCCAGCAAGCTCGGGCTGATATCTGGCCACTCGTGGGTAGAGCCTGCATGGAGAAACTTGAGAACCCTAAGCCCCAAACCCTAAACCCGAAACCCTAAACCCTACACTCTAAACTCTGGGAAAGCTGGCCATCAACCTCGAAGGGGCAGTTCTATGGGCCCTTCATATGGTCCCTTACCTCCTTTCAAGCGCTCTGATGTATGGGCTTAGGGTTTAGGGTTTAAGGTTTAGGGTTTAGGGTATATACGGGGTATGCAAGGGGTCCCCTTTTCATGGGCCCATACTCAGGGGCCTAGGACAACTCTAACATCCTGACGTCCCAGCGAGGTTCATGAGGGGTGGGAGCCCCTCTCTAAGCCTGAGAAACCGACAGAAAGTCGCCTTTTGGGGGAGACCTCGGCACCTTAAACCCTAAACCTACACCCTAAACCCAATTTCTAAAGCCTAAACCCTAAACCCTAAACCCTAAACCCTAAACCCTAAACCCTAAACCCTAAACCCTAAACCCAAGATAAGCCCACAAATTGTTTTAAGAGGAGAACCTGGCTCCTGAGAGGCCGAGAAGGGGGTACAAGCTGAGATACCCAGTACCTGGGTTTGGGGTGGTTTAGGGTTTAGGGTTTCGGGTTTAGGGTTCAGGGTTAGTCACTGCGTAGCTCCCGGGTAGCAACATGGAGGGCGAATTATCTAAGTCCATTCGCCAGGCCAGCTCTAGAATGAGCGCAATGCGTCGCATCCGTCAGCTCTCATGGCAAATATGTCGAGCAGGCTGAAGAAAGCACCAGGAAGCCAACGAGGTAGCCAGCAGTCGTTTCGGCTTCAAATCCATCCCCTAAATCCGAAACCCTAAACCCTAAACCCTAAACCCTAAACCCTAAACCCTTTATTGCAGCGACTTCAACAACCAAGTCTGAACGGGCCCTCAGATGGGTGCGGGTGTTTCCCGAGGCAGGGGTTCTCTTATGGACACCCAAATTTCTACAGTCCTTATTAGCCCCACAACGGGTACCCTAAACCCTAAACCCTGAACCCTATTGTCCGAAACCAACATGTGCTGGCGTGGCAGAATGATTCATTTACATTTTCATCATACATTATACATAATACATATGCAAATCCTTATGTACGAAAATGCTGGATGTTTACTACATATATAGCGTGATATACTGAACATTAGGCTTAATCTTCAGTACATACAATGTCATGCATGAGCCCTTGTGAAAAGTTGAGGGTTGAGAGTTCAGGGCTTAAAGGTTTAGAGTTTAGCGGCCCGAATGTGCCCTCATAGTAAGACAGATGGGAAGGGGGAGAGGGGGGGCTATCCCAAATCGGCGTCTCCTTACAATGCCCCTCGGTACAGAAACAAACGAGCACCCAAAACAGACCCAAACCCTAAACCCTAAACCCTAAACCCTAAACCCTAAACCCTAAACCCTAAACCCTGAGAAAAACAAAAACAACAAGAAGCATTGTGGGAAAGCAACCTGTCAGTGTCTTCTTTGAGGAGAAATCAATAAGAATGCCAGTGATGATGCCAAGCATAGATGCCCTAAAAGGACACCGTGACACTGCGCACTTAGCAGGGGGTTCCCTTTTAAGGGTCCCCCTTATCCTACCTAGGACTTAGCATTGCTTTTCCAACTTCTTCAACGCTAGCTGCACAAAGAGGATGCCCGCAACAACGACGATCCCTAAACCCGAACTCAAAAACCTTGGCTGCTAGGCTGCGTGGGAATGATGTGTTAAGAAGGCGTGCCCTAAACCCTAAACCCTAAACCCTAACCCTAAAACCTAAACCCTAAACCCTAAACCCTAAACCCTAAGCCCGTTGCTACTGGGTTTCGTTTTTGCGTTAGGGAAGAGCAGAGGTGCCGCCCACCACCCCCACCCCCCTGCCGCCCCACCGACAACTTCAACACTAAACCCTGCACCCTTAGGGTTTAGGGTTGAGGGTTTAGGGTTTAGGGTTTAGGGTTTAGGTTTAGGGTTTAGGGAAGCTAAACTCTCATCCCCGAAAACATCAACCTGCACCCTACAGGCGACACCCTAAACCCTGCCTCCCTCCCCCCAACAGTATTTGGAGGTTCAAAGTGGGTGATAACTGCGATTACAAGCCCCCGAAGTCCTTTGAGTAGGTCATAAGTAGAGTTATGATTGGGGTTATATAAGTACCCATATGAACCCGCCCTAAACCCAAAACCCTAAACCCAAAACCCTAAACCCTAAACCCTAAATCACCTAAAGTTGGGGTCAGAAGTACCCTAATGAACCTCGAAGTAGTAGGTAGCTTGTGGAGGGTCGCCTCTGGACTTCGGGCGGCTGCCCCTCAATCTCGGCAGGGTTGACCGTCACCTCGGTGACTTTGCGTGGCTCGCAGGGGAGGAGCGGGGAAGTCCTCTATATTTTATTTGATGGGGGGGGGTAAGAAATGAATATATATGGCAGTGGGTTAAAATTCGGGTTGTCGCGGGGGGTCCCCCCCGCCCTCTGCTACAAGCCTTGTCGCGGGCAGGTTGTTTCATACCTTTGTCGCGCCGCTACTTTGAACCCACTTTTCTTAGTTGGGTTTTGTAAGGGTTTAGGGTAAAGGGTTTAGGTTTAGGGTTGGGGTTTCGGATGAAGGGTTGAGGGACCGCAGGGATTTTACTGGAGAGCCTTAAACCCTGAACCCTGTAAATATAAACCCTGGGCTTCTCGTTCAAGGTTGTCCTACGGATGGGCACCTGCTGGCTCGAGCAGTCGCGCGGGTTGTCGCGGGTATGTCGCGCCCTGTCGCAGGCCTTGTCGCGGACTGAGAGTGAAAGTTGCTGCAGACACGCATCAAGGTCGCATCGAGATTGGCAATGAGAAAATTCAATGGTATTGCTGTCTTGTCGGGGGGGGGGGGTTGTAGCCTTGTCGCGGGGGGGGGGGTTGTCGCGGACACGGCACGTCTGTTACAAACCTTTGTCGCGGAGGGACCCCCCGCTGCCTGTTACAAGCCCGGAAAAAAAACTCACTGCCATATATATGTATATGTATATACATATACATATACATATATATATATATATCTTGACATAGATCTTAATACATAGGTTTACATAGAGATTTTATATGGTTCTAAGTTTAGGGTCAACATAGAACATTGTTGCCAGTTCCACAAAGGAACCTCGAATGAAGTGCTTCCATGAGGGCTTCGGGGTTGAGGAGTTTAGTGTAAAGTTTCGAATTTAGGGTTTTTGTAGGGTTTTAGGATTTCAGAGATAAGGGACTTCTTGGCTTGATAAGCTGAATTTGGGTGTATGAGGCCTAGGGACCCTAAACCCTAAACCCAGTAACCCTTGAATCGTATACCCTAAACCGAAGCCCACAAAACTCACCACCCCGCTCCCCCAACCCACGGCCGCCCTCACCGAACTGAAAGATGAACTTGGAGCGGGCTTGGGTCGCAGGACTTTAGGGTTTGGGGGTTTAGGGTTTATGGTTTAGGGTTAGGGTTTAGGGTTTGGGGGTTTAGGCTTTAGGGTTTGAGCTTAGGCTGTAGGGCTTGGCGGTTGTGATTACCCTGATCCGGAATCTGTTTTTCCCGACTCACACGCCCTCCTTACTTCGGGCACTGCTGCACTTCCAGTACCCTAAACCCTGAACCCTAAACCCCAAACCCTAAACCCTAAACCCTAATCTTAAGGTCGAGGGCTCACCTCGGGGAACCGATAGGGTTTAAAGTTTAGGGGTTACTTGGAGGTTCATGGTACTTGTAACCCCACTTCTGAGCGTCCTTTAACCTACTCAGAGGACTTAGGGGGCTCATGTAAGTATAAGTACCCTGAACCTCCAAGTAGGGCTTAGGAGATACCCTTCAATCGAGGATGCTGTGGACGCCTAGTTTATACGCCTGGGCCCAGGTCAGCTCAGTAACTTTGGTTGAGAAAAGCAGACACATGGCCTCTTCCGACCACAATTCACCATAAATGTTTGTATAAAAAAATAACATCCAGCATATAATTCGTACATGTGTTCAGTGTAACATATACAGTGTGTAGCTAAGATGTGTATGTAGTAGGTTGCTGGGCCTCTTCGTCAAAAAAAAACAACTTTCGGGGGCCCCAGGCTCTAAACCCTAAACCCTAAACCCTAAACCCTAAACCCTAAACTTAAACCCTAAACCCTGATTTTCTTTCGTCAAAATCTTCCCGACGAGGCACATTGTTGTACAGCTCAAGCAAGCGCTTTGCTTCGTCTACCTGACCCAAGCAGTCGAGGGCTGAGGGCTTGGGAACCCCAAACCTTTGGGGTTAGGGTTTAGGGTTTAGGGTTTAGGGTTTAAAGGTTTAGGGCCCTCAACCCTAGACCCTTAAACCTTAGAGCTTAAACCCTAAGCCCTTTTTGGTTCATGCTGCGACCTCGGCCTCTTCGTAGCTTCTTGTCATGGGCTGCTTTAAGGCATCGGTTGTGGCTGTCCAATCTTGGCTGCACTTAGGGGGGTAGCTAAAAATTAAACTTTTAGCTGCCTTAATAAGAAACCCAATAAACCCAAAAAAGGTAAGGATCTAAAGTTACAGTAAAGTACCACAAAGCAATGGGGTCTTTGTACACCTTCACGGAATTGGCCTTGCCCAACGTAAGTCTCGGGTCAGGACTTAGGGTTTAGGGTTTAGGGCTACTTGGAGGTTCATTTGGGTACTCTGTAGCAGGGTTCTACGTAGGGGTCTAACTATGGTCATAACCACATCCAGGGCACTTAAAACCCCACGTAAAGGTACCCGTGAACCTTCAAGTAAACCCTTAACCCTTAACCCTAAACCCTCAACCCTAAACCCTAAACCCTAAACCCTAAACCCGAACAACCTGGGCAGTGGTTCTTGGAGGCCCTCGTCCCTCAGGATCTTCGAATGCATCGTTCTGAATCCTCAGTTCTGAGTGAGCCCCGAAAGGTCTAGGAATCACAATAGAGTTTAAGGTTTAGGGTTTAGGGCTTAGGGTTTCGGGTTTAGGGCTTGGGGCTTCAGGTCTAGGGTTCAGGGTTGGGGCCGGTTTAGGGTTTAGGAATGCCAAGGTGCCCTATTTCGTTAAAAAAGTGCTTGTAAGGGAACCTAATAAGGGCTTACTCTGGGTCCTAGGGAAACTAAACCGAGAACGTCCGAAACATCTCGAAGCCCACAACCCTCTAAAGCTCAAATTCAGCAAGCACCTACCCGCTACTGTACACACATGTATGATTCGGTTTAGGATTTAGCGATTAGGGCTTAGGACTTGGGGTTACTGACCCTCAAAACCCCTGGCCCTAAGGCCCCATACTAACCCTGAAACCCTAATTCCTACTCCCTAAACCCTAAAACCTAAACCCTGAACCCTAACCCTAAACCCTGAACCCGACACCCCTAAACCCTGGGAGCCCTGCTCCCATATCGGCCTTTGCTTTGAGATGCTGCTCAGAACTCAGCAGCATCAGGAGCTCGGAGTTGTCCATCCTTTCAAAGACATACCCTCGAGGTGGTAGGGTTTAGGGTTTACGGTTTAGGGCTTAGGGCTTAGGGCTTAGGGCTTAGGGCTTAGGGTTTAGGGTTTAGGGTTTAGGGTTTAGGGCTTAGGGTTTAGGGTTTAGGGTTCAGGGTTCAGGGATATACTTGGGCCCTATATGGGGTTCATTTCTAGCAGCTGCGGTTTTACCGCCTGGGCTTTGGGGCAGGGCTTGGGGGTTATATTTTGGCCTCGTGCGGGGGGAGGGGGGGGAGGGGTGGATTGAAGGCTAGCTGAGGTGACTTTCTGAGGCCGCAGGTTCTCGCAGGGTTTAGGGTTTGGGGTTTAGGCGGCTTGTAAAACTGAGTGAAGTTTTCCTTGAACTGGTGGAGGCTAACTCAGTTAACTCTGCTCGGCGTTGCATCGCCCTCCGTCCCCCGAAAGATAATCCTGGCACAGGTTTCGGCTTAGAGTTCAGGGTTCAGGGTTTGGGGTTTAGGGTTGAGGGTGCAGTATATGACGAAATGCCTTGGGCAGCCTACCTCAACTTACAAACCCGATCAAACACCTAGCAGACGCAACCCGAGCCGCTGTGCCACATACCAGCTGAGCTTGCTTTCGAGGGGGAAACAAGGTTAACCTCGTAGGTTTAAGATTTCGGGATTAACCTTAAACCCTAAACCCTAAACCCTAAACCCTAAGATTTAGGGATCCACCTTGAACCCGAAACCCTAAATGCCTAAACCCTAATGAAATCATTAGGGTTTGTTGAGGCACTGGGTCCTATAAACCAGTTCCACTAAACAAAGCGGTAAACGGCTGCCTACTCAGCACTGAAGGGAAAGAAGGCGCTTAAGGTTTAGAAGCTTGGGCTATAAACTCGTAAGGAACAATGCAAATCATGTATCCCCAAATCCTATGAAGCCATAAGAGGGCCCCAAACCCTGTGAACCCTAAACCCTCATTGCCCCGGACTCTCAAACTCCTAAAGCCCCGAGACGGCAAACCCCTCAAGAGCCTGCGCGCCTATACCCTTTAAACCCATTTTTACCCCACGGTCCAATAAAGATCTTGGGGTTTAGAGTCAAGGGGCTTCCGGGCTTTAGGGTTTAGGGTTTTAGGTTTAGGGTTTAGGGTTTAGGGTTTAGGGTTTAGGGTCTAGCGGGAGCCAGCTCGGAAAAACCTAGGGCCCCGGCTCCAGCAGCATTCCTGATCAATGCGAGTGGCGAACCACTGATAGCCCTCGCAGCCCCTAGGGTTTAGGGTTTAGGGTTCAGGGTGTAGGGTCTAGAGTCTAGGGTTTAGGGTTTAGGAGTGCTAAACACACGCAACCTTGAAGTCAGAGATGGACGCCCTGCACCCTATACATTCCCTAGGAGGGTTTAGGCTTGGGGTTCAGTTCGGGTTTAGGGTTTCGGGTTAAGGCACACCCAAAAAGGGAGCCGAGGTTGAGAACGACCCCCCACTTCATGGGGTTGGGGCCATGCCAGACCGTGCACCCGAATCCAAGCATCTATTTTACCTTAGACCCACGCACGAAACAAAACCACATTGAAAAGTTCAAAACATCATTCCGAATGAAGTGGAATAAAAAAATTGGAAGCTGAAGGAAATTTTTGGACCAGACAAGAAGTCGTCGAACAACCCACAGCTCACTTGCGTAGTCTCTTTGAGTTACAAGGGCCCTGAACACGACCCCTTGTATATGTACATCTCCATTACTACTGTACATTCGTACGCAGAGTTGTGTTCAACCATTCGTGCATTGATCGACACAAACACCAAGAAAACTGATCTCAAGATCATGAATCCTCAAACCTCAACCCTCAACCCTCAACCCCAAACCCCTAAACTCTAAACCCCTAAACCCTAAACCCCAAACCTAGGCTCGCTGCCGACAGGCCTGTGATTCTGCCGGCGATGTCGGGGTGACTTCGGGCCACATGAGGATACAGCCTCCGAATCGGCAACCTAAACCCTAAACCCTAAACCCGAAGCCCTAAAACCTAAACTGCATAAACCCCAAAACACGTAACCACTGGGGTTCTAGCATGTTCTGGCTATAGGGGCTGAGGGTTTTGGCGCCTGGCTGTAAGGAGCGCGAAGGGACGCCGACGCAACTAAGGCTCAGGGCAACGGATTTTGGGGCGTGCAGCTTAAGGTTGTGCCTAAACCCTTAAACCCTAAACCCTAATAACCCTAAACCCTGCTTCAAATTCCGGTGCAGTGTTCAACCAGGTTAGGGTACCAACTCTAGGACCAAAGAAGGTTTCTGGACAGACCAAGATATCCTCAACCACAACCGCGCCCCGTGGACCCCTAAACCCCCTAAACCGTCCCCATTTGGGGTTTGGGGGAAACTCCCGCTGTTGAGACACAAAGACAACAGCCAGAGGGTTCAGGGTGAATTAGGGGTTTAGGGTTTGGGATTAGGGTTAATTCAGGGCGTGCGCTTAGGTCCAGGCAACACCACAGGTGAACTACTTTTGTGCCGTCGAAAAGCACCCTGTGTTGAGAGTTTAAGGGTTCGGTCAAGGAACGAGAACTGATTAGGGTTGAGAGACGAACCGGAAGCTAGCTAAAACCCTCAACCCTATGGGGTTTGGTTTAGGGTTTAGGGTTTAGGGTTTGGGGTTTGGGGTTTAGGGTTTAAGGTTTAGGGTTTAGGGTTTAGGGTTTAGGATTTAGGGTTTAGGGTTTCGGGTTTAGGAACCCGGCCTTTCCCCTAAGAGCTGCTTCTGCACCCGCAAAGGTGCCGCGGCCAGCCCCTCCGGCGTGAGGGGCGGCTCCGAGCCGGCACCTATGCGGCTTGGGGCTGACGTAAGGTTTAGGGTTTAGGGTTTAGGGTTTAGGGTTAAGGGTTTAGGGTTTGGGGTTTAGGGTTTAGGGCTTTGGGGTTTAGGGTTTCGGGTTTAGGGCTGGGCCACAGGGTTTGGAGGGCTGAGGGTTGAGGGTTACAGGGCTCTGGGCTTTGAGGTGGAGGGTTGAGGGTTGAAAGTACAGGGTTAGCGTGTTTTCCCGGCTTTAGGGATTGGGGGGTGGAGGGTGGAGGGCTTTAGGAGAAAAAACAGTTGGTTCTGTGGCCTAAACCACAGAAGCTCTAAACCCTAAACCTTGGGGATGGGTTTTACTTTCTCTGTGGTTTCTGCTTGTGGCCCATACGACTGCTCGGCATAGGCATCTCACGCTTTCTTTGTCCTACACAGACTAACGGACCTTGCCTGCCTTGTGCGAGAATGAGCGACTAAACCCTAAACCCCAAACCCTAAACCAAACATCGACCTGTCGCCGGCTGAGGTTAACGGGCTGGACTTTGAGAAGGTCGGGGAAGCATCACCCTTCCAGATCATGGAGACTCGACAACTAGCCTTACTTAGCCAAGAGTTGAACTTTAAACTCGTTGGGCTTCCTTGTTAAGTAGGAAAAAACAAAGTTGAACCTTTTTTCCCCTTGCTTATCGGAGAAGTAAGTAGCTCGGTAGGCCCTAGGGACATTTAATATTTTTCCTCATTGGGTTTAAGCGGAAGCGGGCTTGGTGAGCGCACAACAGGCTGCCAACCTATCCACCCACTTGCAGCTCTTGGGGCGTTTGAAGCCTGCAGTCTTTGTAGAGTCTTCAGGGTGCTATGCGGGTTTCCGATATTCGGGGTACCTTATTGGGGTCCTTCTTATTCGGGAAATGCTACTAGTTGGGGGACTATATTAGGGGTCCCTCATTTTCGTAAACCTTGGTATGGGGGATACTGGGTTGTGGGTTTTGGGGTTTGGGGTTGAGGTAAACTGGCTCGCTTGCAACCCCTTGAAAGCACAATGCGTGGTTTAGGTTTAGGGTTTCGTACTGGTACTGATCGAGCCCCCCTCCTGTCCCGACTGATGCCAAAAGGATGCCTGCGGGGGGAGAGGGTGGTGGAACGCCGATGTCGTAGATGTCTTTGTGGGTGCCGCTCCTGCTCTTAGAGCAGTAAACCCTAAATCCTACTATAGGGCTTCAGGCTTGGTCCACTTTGGAGTTCCTACTTACACGCCTTACTCTAAAAGCGATGAAAGGGTTTAGGGAGTTTAGGATTTAGGGCTTAGAGGCTGGGGCCTGGGGAATTTTGGGGTTTAGGAAGCTTAGGGCGTATAGGAATCCTAATTAGACGACTGCCCAGAGGTGAAAGGGTTGTGCTAGATTTGGCGGTTTAGAAGTATGCTTAGGGCTCAGGGTTCAGGGTCTGTAGCCTTTGCCATAATTTTATGGTGTCCTTATTAGGGGAGGGGGGGTTCAAGGGGGTTACGCAACCCATGATTTGATTCCCCAGGTACCTACCCCCCCCCCCCCCCCCCCCCCCAGGAGTTTTCGACCTTCCTAGAGCTCCCTAAGCCCTCTAAACCCTAAACCCCCTCCTCAAACCCGAACCCTCTGAAGTAGTAAGGTGCAGCATTCAGGGTCTGGAGTCGTGCAGTTCACCCTGAACCCTAAACCCTAAACCCTGAACCCTAAACCCTATACCCTAAACTCTAAACCCTACAAACCCTGAACCCTGAAAGCCCTAAACCCTATAAACAACCTAAACCCCATAAACACCTATACACCCTCTAAGCCCTAAACCCTGATGCCCAAAAGATGGTGAGAGGTGGGCCCCCGCACTCGTAGAAGTCTTCCTGGAGCAGAACCATGAGCTGTGCCTCTGTCACAGGGTACTCAATGGGTTTAGGGTTTAGGGTTCTTAAGGGAGGGGGGTCCAAGGGATTCAAGGGGGGTATGTATCCCGAGGTTCCCTAATACTCCCCACTGCTCCCCAAGGCTCCCGAAGCTTCTTCCGCGGCGGTTCGGGTTTAGGCCTTAAACCCTAAACCCTAAACCCTAAACCCTAAACCCTAAACCCTAAACCTAAACCCTGTAGGGTTTAGCATGATGAAGGAACCGGCTCCCACTTCTGTCCCTTTTCTTCTGACATGATCAGCAGGCTACAGACCACAAAACCCCAAATATATTTTGGCGCGACATGAAGTAGGGTTTAGGGTTTAGGGTTTAGGGTTTAGGGTTTAGGGTTTAGGGTTTGATATTTCTTGTACCCCCAAAAGGACACCCAAGGTATACACTCACCAATATTAAAACGGAACCTTTTAAACACTCACCAAAAACAGTAATATTATCCCTGCTTCAATGCGGAATATTGCGACATGTGTGCAAAACAGCTTTGCAAATTGTGCACGTCACATTCAGGGTTGCGAAAAATGTTGTGAGCATGTTGTGGAAATGGTGAACATTGCGAAGATAGTACGACAACGCGACAATCTTGCTTCAAAAATGCAGAACAAAGATGAGAAAGGCATGACTTGGCCGTTTTCCGTCACCTTGGCGCTGACAGGCACTTAAGTTGACTGACGCTGAGACTGGCATCTGCTTGGCAATATTTTTCCGCAACTGTTTCGCAACTGTTTCGCACACATCTCACAATCCGCAAATCGATGCCCAAAAGTGCTTGGCAAAGTTTCCGCAAAATCCCCAAAACTGAAGTGGCCCTAATCATCTCACAACCCTATTCCACCGGGCAAGGCTACAAATAGAGGGCATGCGGGCAATGATTTGGGGCATTGCGTAGCGAAGGTGTCCGGCTGTAGAAGCAGAAGACAAGTACAGCCCTCGACACTGACACGTAAACCGAAAGACTACGAAACTCTACGACTTGGAGGTTCATGGATACTTATAAGTAGCGTTGTAGTACGGTTCTTTAGGGGCATCCAAACCCTAAACCCTAAACCCTAAACCCTAAACCCTAAACCCTAAACCCTAAACCCTAAACCCTAAACCCTAAACCCTAAACCCTAAACCCTAAACCCAAACCTCTAAGTAAACCGGCTCAGTGGCTTCCGGGCTTTGACGCAACGTCCGAACTGCAAACGTCGTTTAGTGCGGTCTGAGGCTTGATTTTGGGGTTTAGGGTTTAGGGTTTAGGGTTTAGGGTTGGGATGTTCACCCTTATACCAACAGTCCTTAAAAAGGGACTATAATTGGGGGGCGGGTACAAGAATCCCCATGGAGGCCGGTTAGTTTAAGAGGGAACATCCCAAGGTTTAGGGTTTATGCCCACTTTCGGGTTTAGGGCTTAGGGTTTAGGATGTTGGGGTTGGGGGTTTCGGGTTCTAAGGGCTTTGGGGGGCTTGGGGTATGGGGTTTTGTGTGGACACGGTGGGGAGCTTAGGGTTTCGGAGGTAAGGGGTGTGATTTACGGCTCAGGCGTTGAATTAAGGGTTTAGGGGTTGAAAAGGTTTAAGGGCTCAGGTGTCAAGGGTTCAGGGATGGGTTGAGCACATGGATGTGTGTTGGGAGCGAGGGGGGGTGTCTTGGTTCTATCTTACGTAGCAGAAAGGTCGCCAATAAGCGAATAATGCGGGTTTTGCACGCTATTGTGGAACCAGAGGGTTTGGGGAATATACCCTAAGCCTAAACCCTAGACCCTAGACCCTGAACCCTAACCCTAAACCCTAAAACCCGAACCCTAAAACCTAAACTCTAAAGACCTTAAGGTCCTGCTGCAACCATAAAAGGATTCCCCAAGGCCCACGCAGCACTGTACCTGGGGTCAATCAGGTTCGACTGGTACATTTCCTGGCAAAGCTCTCGTAGATGAAGATTTGGGTTTCGGGTTTAGGGTTTAGGGTTTAGGGTTTAGGGCTTAGGGTTCAGGGTTTCGGGTTGAGGGGGTTTCGGATGGCTCGAACCCCTACGCATGAAACACCTCCAACACCAAAAGCCTCAAATCCTATACCCTCCCAAAACCAAAAACCCGAACCCTAAACCCTAAACCCTGAACCCCTCACCCTAAACCCTAAACCCTAAACCCTAAACCCTAAACCCTAAACCCTAAACCCTAAACCCTGCAACTGGACTCCCTGGAGCCCCACTTGAACGTTCATGGGTACTTGTAAGTAGGGTTCTAGGTCTGCACATAGGGTTTAGGGTTTAGGGTTTAGGGTTTAGGGTGAGGGGGCGGGGGGGGGGGGGGCTCAGCACTGAGGGAACCTCGAACTGCGCCCGGACGCCGGCATCCGGACAGGTCTCCAACACCTGCACGTGCGCTGTTGTAGGGTTGTGGCTCTTGAGGGTTTAGGGTTTAGGGTTTAAGGTCTGAGGCTCTTGAGGGTTAGGATTCACAGGGATTAAGGTTGAGGATATACAGGGTTTAGGCTTAGGGTTTACGGCTTCCAGCAGGGGCCAAGGGATTCGGGGTTTACGGGTGTCGGGATGACTTAGGCAAGGGGCTCAAATAGTTTCAGGACTCCTGCTGTCATGGATGGAGGCACAAGCAGTGGTTGATGTGCTAAGTTGGCCCTTTCTAAGGGGAAATGCCTCAAACCCTAAAACCCAAAAACCCTAAACCCCGAAAAACGGCTTTTAGTCAAAGCCTAAAGCCTGAAGCCTCAACCCTACCCAGTACGTATTTGAGAGCCTCCCCGTATCCAAAACGATTTGACTGATTAACGGTCTTTCTGCAGGGGAAAGGTTCATCAAAAGACAAGCCTTAAGGTTAGGTTCAGGGTTCAAAGATTTAGATACACATGCACACACACACACAAATGCCGGCGTCACATCGCGACAACGGGGTTATTACAAAGCGTCTCCAATTTTACATAACCCTTCTCCATGAACCCTAATCCCACAACCCCAAAACCCGAATCGCCTAAATCCTAAACCCTAAACCCTAAACCCTAAACCCTAAACCCTAGACACCAAACCCACCCTAAACCCTAAACCCGAAGCCTCGCGGATCATGTTGGTGTCCATGGGCCCGGGCGCCCAGCTAAGCGTGCGGACCTCAGAAAGGTGCTGAAGGGAAGGAGGGTCTTGGTCAGGGTGCACTTGGAGCTTCAAAAGTAGGGTCTAGGGTTTAGGGTTTAGGGTTTAGGGTTTAGGGTTTAGGGTTTAGGGTTTAGGGCATAGGGCTTAGGATGCTGGTAGTAGCGTGATAAGTCGGGTGAATAGGGTAAAACCTAATTTAGGGTATTTTCGACCATACTTTTAAGTACCCATGAACCTTCGAGGATTGGGCAGAGGTTTGGACATGTCTCAGCTCCCACTTCCGCTTTCCGCGAAGGGAAAGTAGCTATACCTTCTAGGGTTTAGGGTTTAGGGATTTGGGTATATGACCCCAATTTTAGGGTTCATGTGCTCCCCAAGTTTGACCTTCTCAGATGCCTTCGCACAAAGGACTTGGCTGGGGGGGTCGTTTCTATGGCCCGATGGAGTTTAATTGGAGGTGGGATTTATGGTGCTGGTACTCGCGGATGCTCGCGTGTACCCTGGACCCTAAAGCCTAAACACGCGATCCTCGACCCTAAACCCTAGGTTGCCCAGTAACCTGGTATTAAAAAGGGTGCCCTTTTTTGCTTAGAGAGGTTCATAAGGGAGCCTAGACCCCCCAAAAAGGGAATAAGGGTACTACTGGGCATCCTAGACCCTAGATCGACCCCAAAGCCTAAGCACGAAACCTCAATGTCGGAACAGGAAGCCGCTGCCAGCCTCTTACTAAGCACCTGGCGTCCAGACCCGACCTCCGTGCGTCCATGGCCACCGCCTTCATGTGCATGTCGCGCGCTGCCTTGCGGACAGTTTAGGGTTTAGGGTTTAGGGTTTAGGGTTTAGGGTTTAGGGTTTAGGGTTTAGGGCAGTGCGGAATCCTTTTGGGCATCCCTGCAGTGAACTCCAGAAAGTTGGAGCATGGGTCACGGAATATTGGAGCCGGGATTCTCTTAAGTATACTGTTTGGGGTATGGGGAGAAGGTTGTTCCAACTTTTCGAGCTGACAGGAGGCTCAGGAGAGTTTGAAAGTCAAGTTGACACCCAGAGCCTGTACCTGCATCAGATACTCACGGGGACAGACCAAAAGGCATCTCGTACCCAAAAACACGACACCCTGAACCCTAAACATTTCCGCAATATATGTATATATAAATATATATATACATACACATATATATATATATACAGATATATACATGTATATATGTATGGATGCATGGGCCCTCACGGGCCCGCGGGGACCTCTAAAGCCAAACCCAAACCCTAAACCCTAAACCCTATATATCCCAAACACAAAACCCTACCTAAACCCTAAACCCTAAACCCTAAACCCTAAACCCTAAACCCTAAACCCTAAACCCTAAACCCTAAACCCTAAACCCTAAACCCTAAACCCTACCTAAACCCTAGACCCTAATCCCTCAACCCTAAACCCTCAACCCTACCCAAACCCTAGACCCTAAACCCTACCTAAACCCTAAACCCTACCTAAGCCCTAAACCCCAAACCCTAAACCCTAAACCCTACCTAAGCCCTAAACCCCAAACCCTAAACCCTAAACCCTACCTAAACCCTAGACCCTAAACCCTACCTAAACCCTAAACCCTACCTAAACCCTAAACCCCAAACCCCAAACCCCAAACCCCAAGCCCCAAGCCCCAAACCCCAAACCCTAAACCCTACCTAAACCCTAAACCCCAAACCCTAAACCCTAAACCCTACCTAAACCCTAGACCCTAAGACTGCTTCCTGTTTTTGTGACTGATACAAGGAAGTCCTGCCTTGCCAGTGGAGTACAGGGACCAGGAGGGCATCACCTGGCCCCCACAGCAGGGCTTGGGGCTATTAGGGCTGAAGGTTTTGGAGGGTTTAGGGTTCAGGGTTTAGGGTTTAGGGTTTAGGGCTAAGATTTGTGCTTTCGATGGGGTGGGTGGGTGGGGGGGGGGGGGGGGGGGGGGGGGGTGGAGGCCTGACATTTTGCGTTAAAGGTGTGTAGGGCTTCAGGGGCCGCAGCGTTTCAGGCTGCGATTTGTCAGGATCTCTGCCCTACAAATGCAGCTTCCGGGGTTTAGGGTTTAGGGTTTAGGGTTTAGGGTTTAGGGTTTAGGGGTTTGGTTTGGGTGTGTCTCTCTTCGTGAAGAGCTTTCTACAACGCAAGGCCTTCGGGCTCAAGGGCTTTGGGGCCGTAAGCCCTAAACCTTAATGAATTCAGCCCTGAACTCTAGTGGTTGCAAGGGACTTCTTGGCCCTAAGAGGTTGAGAGGTTCTTGCATTCCTGAGAGGTTGTTGTTGTTGTTGTGAACTCTAGTTAATCCCTAAACCCCTAGCCCTGGTAAAGCCTTCTGTTTCAGCCCTTCGGAAGGGGAGGGGGTTGGGGGGGGGGGTGGGGGGAGGGGGAGACTTTGGCTTCTAGATCTTCAAAAGAGAATTCGGAAGTAGGGAATTCGGATACCTTCTGTCTCAGTACATGGCGCTCTAGGGACTTTCAATAGGAACCATACGCAAAGGGTACCCGGCCGCCGCAGGCACTCGGCCTCCGGTGCGCCTGTGAGCCTCCAGATCCACGTGCTCGATGCCGTCCTCGGTCTTCCCGGCTTGGTTTTTTTCGCCCTAAACCCTAAACCCTAAACCCTAAACCCTAAATCCTAAACCCAGTCCCCGTCGCAAGGTTCCGAGTTGAACCGGTCGGAGCCAGATTCTTCGGAGAGACGGGCATCCATCTTCACCAGGAGCATTTCGTCCAGCTGCAGCCAGGCTTTAGGCTGATGGTCCCTATTTGGGTTGGTTTAGGGTTAGCGTTAAGGGTTAAGGGTTAAGGGTAAAGGGTTAAGGGTTAAGGGTTTAGGGTTCATGGTTTGGGCTAAGGGCTTAGGGCTTACGGACCCCATGACCCCAACTTAAGGGCAACAGGGTAGCCGCTGTTGCAACCAAGCCCCAAAGCCCCAAAGTCAAAACAAACTCGCATAGCGCCGCGCCTGAAGAGCGAGAAGGCTCGAGATGTTCACGATCCGAATCTTCAGGCTGCCTTGTGAATTCGCCTGGCAGTGGAGCTAAGACAGCCAAGAAAGTCTTAGTTGTCCAGTACCTAGGGTTTTTAAAGGTTAACCTTTGGGATTATACGGAGAATATACTACCCGGAAAAGGTTCAAGGTTCCCAACTCTACTACTAAGAAGTTCGTGGCATCTGGGCAGTAGGGTTTCGGGGTGTATTGCTGAGATCATAAGGATTTGCAAACCCTAAACCCTTTTGGGTTTGGATTTAGGGTTCAGGGATATCGGCGGCAGCATTCACGCACCCCCCGCCCCCATTGGTATCCCCCCTTCAACCCCCCCCCCCCCCCCCCGGTGTTTTGGGTTTCGGCTTTCCCCTTTCCCCTTCTGTGGTTCATGCTGTGTGGTTCATGTTAGCTTTGGCGTTTAGGGCTTAGGGTTCAGGGTTTAGGGCTGATGGTCTAGGTTTGGGGCTTGCCTCTCCCCCCCCCCCCCCTGTGGTGGGATCAAGGGATCACCAGTGAGGGCTTGCCTCTCCCCCCCCCCGTGGTGGGATTAAGGGATCACCAGTGAGGAAGGACGTACCACGGAGCCGGAGCGCGCCGGCGTGTATAAACCCTATCCCCCAAACTCTACACCGGAGCTACCAGGCTTGCCAAATGAGGATCAAGCTAGTACTGCTGCTCATTGCCGGCCTCCTCGCTAACCCTAAACGTGCTCCCAGGAGACTTGTAGCACCATACTTAACGTTTACTAAGTTTACTGGGGGTGGATTTGGGGTAGTGGACTTTGAGATTCTATGGGTTACAACGGCTTGGGTTGGTGGTTAGTAGGGAATGAGAGAATGAGGTAGTTAACTCCAATTCACCCCTGTACATAGCCGTAAGGGATAACATATGGTACCTAATTCCCTCATTCCCTACTAAGAACCCCTAAACCCTAAACCCTAAACCCTAAACCCTAAACCCTAAACCCTAAGCCCTAAACCCTAAACCCTAAACCCTAAACCCTAAACCCTAAACCCTAAGGCTAGCAGCCGCACCTGGTCGCCAAAGCGGCGTAGGACATCTTGCGTGAGCAAGATGGGACAGGTGACGTTGAGGTCCATGGCGGCCTTTGGGGTTTAGGGTTTCGGGTTTAGGGTTGGTGCGAGTTCAGGACTATAGGGTTTACGGTTTGGGGTTTGAGGTTTAGGGTTTCGGGTTGTTAGGCTTGCGGGTACCCCGAAGTTTGTCGGGAGGTCTCGCCTCTAAGTGGTCTTGGACCTTGGAACATATGTTTCGGAATCTGCAGCCTCCGCAAACCTTTGTGGGCCAAATTAGCCCTCGAATTGGGACCATATTCTCTATACGACTGCAGTATTATCCCGATCAGAGTGTGTGAAAACCTTTCAGGGTTCTGCAGAAGTACCCTAAACCCTGAAAACCCTGAACCCTAGAACCCTAAACAATAAACCCCTAAACCCTCTATGGAAGAAGCTTGAGGATGTCGGGTTGGGTGGCTACATCCAAGCCGGAGACCACAACGCCAGCCAAGGTACCCGAAATCCCCGACCGCAAACTATCTTTAGGGCTTTGCCGCGGCTCCAGCGCAGTACTTATGTCGGTTTGGCCCTAAACCCTAAACCCTAAATCCTAAACCCTAAACCCTGAACCCTAAACCCTAAACCCCAAACCCTAAACCCTATGAACCCTAAACCCATGTTCTTGTCCCTGCGCATCGGCTTCAAATCCGCGAGTTGGATGGCAACAACGACGCAAGGGTGAGAAGCTCCAAGCTTCGGACAGCACTAGCTGTCTTACAGCAGCCCAAACAAAAAAACCGCAAGACAGGCGAGACTGCAACCCTCCTCCTCCTCCTCCCCCTCCTCGCCCCCCCAACCCTTGCAGCCCCTAAACCTCCCTAAACCTATACGCTCTAAGAGTTAATAGGACCCTAAACCTGGCCCTCTGCCCCCCCCTCCCCCCCCTGGCCTCCCCACCCCCCCCATGCCGAGGCCCTGTCAGCCGTCTCAGCTGCCTCCAGGTGCTGCGCGAAGGCGAGCCGCCCTTGGCGCGCACCAACGCTGAGCCAGAGGGCCCAGGTACTTTCATACGACTTGGGTTTCGGGTTTCGGGTTAGGGTTTAGGGTTTAGGGTTAGGGTTCAACCACAAAGTACTTGACCCTTACACTCCCATGCACCCTAGCCTATGAACCCTAAGCCTTAAGCCTACCAAGATTTTGTGAGACTAGGTTGGATGGGAATCGACTCCTATGCGTAGCTGTGTGTTCTTGAGGTCTAATCATAAGTGTAGAAGGAGACCCGCCCCCACTATGCTAAGTATACTGAAGGGACTTAGAACCCAAGATAACTCGAGGGTCCCTCCTTGTAGGGTGTACTAAAGTTGCTTCAGGCCGATTGCCCTGCACCGTGGGCGGCATCTTTTAGGGCAAGAGTTTTGGGTTTAGGGGTTTAGGGGTTTAGGGGTTTAGGGGTTTGGGGGTTTAGGGGTTTAGGGGTTTAGGGGTTTAGGGGTTTAGGGGTTTGGGGGTTTGGGGGTTTGGGGGTTTAGGGGTTTAGGGGTTATGATGGGCTGTTTTGGGAACCATGAAGGTAAGGCCTCCGTGCTGTTCTAGGTAACTAGCGAATAACCCCACACAGACCCTTACTTGAAACTAAGGTTGGAACCATGTGCCCTTAGTGTGGTCTCTTACCCTTCTTAATAGGGACCCGAAGTATGGGCCCTTATGAGATATAAACCCTAAACCCTAAACCCTAAACCCTAAACCCTAAACCCTAAACCCTAAACCCTTGTAGTGTACATAAGGGTTCTATCACAAGGGGCCCAGTTTAAGGGCCCATACTTCGGCTTCCCTGTTAGAAACTCCCCGCCTGCTGAGTCACAACACTAGGGGATAGGATGAGGGGGACTCTAGGGTTTAGGGTTTAGGGTTTAGGGTTCTGAATAAGGCCCCTGTTTAAGAGAGCCAGAAGAGGGTTCAAGAAGGATTCCCTTCTTAAGGGTCCCCCATATCCTACCTAGGAAACACCCTCAAAACTGCACCCAAGCAGATCTCTGAGCTGTCGTCCAAGGCTGCCAGCATTGTGCACCTGCACCATCGCCCTAAACCCTAAACCCTAAACCCTAAACCCTAAACCCTAAACCCTAAACCCTAAACCACTAGGCGGTGGGATTAAGTCACCCCAAGGCCGTGCGAAGTCGGCACTCCGCTGGGGCGTAAGCCTCGACTCGCGTGAAGTCAATCCATCCGCAACACGTCGACGCATAGACGGTAGGGTTTAGGGATTAAGGTTCGGGTTTTCAGAATCCTGCAAGGGCATTCTTATAATCACCTGCAAAAAATGTAGGATTTCTGGGTTAAGGCAGAAGGAACTGCATATGCGTGATACAAAGGGAGGCCTTGGATCCCCGCATCCTAAATCTTGGTTTAGGGTTGGGGCTTGGGGCCCGGGTTTGGGGTTAAGGGTTAAGGGTCTAGGGTTTAGGGTCCAGTCCTCAATACGAGAAACCTAAAACTTGAGGCTCGTCTTCCAGTGCGAGCAAGACGCAATGGACTGTTGTTCAAAAAAAAATGCCAGCCCCAAGCAGGACATAAGGCGGGCTGCCTTTAGTAAAGACTCCCCTTTTTCAGTGCTTCTTCGGTCCCTTTCAAAAATCAACCATCTGGAAAAGACCACACCAGCACATGTCTTAAAATAGGGGTCCTCCCTAGTAGTATCCTCCCCCTTACAAGGACACCCCCCGGCAAAACAAGATGACCCGAAAAAACCCTAAACCCTAAACCCTAAACCTAAACCCCAAACCCCCAAAAAAGCCCTCTAATTTTTGGACTTGCATTTGCCGCGGAGGCACGATGAGCAGCTCGCAGAGAGCCGCGGGTGGCTTCCTTTGAGGGGTTTAGGGTTTAGGGTTTGGGGGTTTAGGGTTTAGGGTTTAGGAATATCCGCTTTCGGGGTTTCGGGGTTTGGGTCTAGGGCTTTAGGGGGGTGCCGTGCGTCTGCCACCTCCGCTGCGCGCGGCACGCTTCCCACGAGCTCTGAGCGCCAAGCTCCACGGAGGCCAGTGATTCTGCAAGGTACCTGGGATCCCGAACAAAAACATATTTATGTAAAGCTTCTGAGGTTTAGGGTTTAGGGTTTAGGGTTTAGGGTTTAGGGTTTAGGGTTCAGGGTTTAGGGTTTGCGGTTTGGGGTTTAAAAACTAGGGTTTGTCGTCGTGGTGTTTAAGGCTCAGGATTTGGCATCTTGGTCTTCAAATGGGGAGAGTTCAGGGGCCAACTGCCCGACCGCAAGTAACTGTTGTGCGACGCTCTTGACTGGGTGAGGAGTATGATCGTTACATACTTACTGCTAGTCAACTGAACGTGTTGTGTAGCTGCAAGGGTTCTGTGTCGGATATTGTCAACTTGATGAGGGCATGCATGACTTATAGCAGCTTGGGATTCATCAGCCTATAGCACCTTCGACTTGCCTAAACCCTAATGTTGGACCCTGTTTAGTAGGGGCCTCCTCTGTAAAGTCAATTTGGCCGAATTATTCAGGACACCCTGACTGTTTGGTAGTCCCTCTTTAAAGTCAAACGCTTGTTTCGGCCCGGAGGCTCCGGCTCAAAGCCGGGCCTTATGATTTTAAAGCCGGTCCTTGTGATTTTAAAGGCCGACCTCATCCATCCCAACCGGCCCAAAACCATTAATTCCCTTTAAGAAACCATTTGAAAAATTGGTTTCTTTCAATCCGACAAAGGGGTGGTCCAGGAGCCCCCGTCGGCCCCGAATAATGGCACTGATTTGGGACCCTCTTTTCTGTCAAGGCCCCGGGCCGGAGGCTCCGAATTTGGAAAAAGCCAATGGATCCCTTTCAAATTCATATAAACTCATCACGGATCCCTGTTCGATTCGCGCGGATCCCCGGATCCCTGTTTAATCATATAATAAGCTCATCCCTGTTAAATTCATATGGATCCCTTTTAAATCTATCTAAACTCCTCCCTGTTAAAATCATATAAACCCCCGGGGCCGTTTAATCAGGACCAAATCCACGCCTCGACTGTTCGGGGGGGGGGGGGGGGGGTCCCTACATTAAAGAGGGTCCAACATTAAACCCTAAACCCTAGTATAAACCCTAAACCCTATCCCCTAAACCCTTATAAGCCCTACTACACCAAAACCACAAAACAAATCTGCAAACCCTCAAGCCGCAACAGACTCAACAGCAGCCTTCGAGGCGGATGCACATGCCACTTGCACAGCTTACGCCGTGTCCCTAAACCCTAAACCCCCAAACTTACCCTAAACCCTAACCCTAAACCCTAAACTTATCAAAGTTTATAAGAGTAATGAAAACCATGGTTTCTGTCAAATGTCAACGTGAAGGTGCGGGGGTGGGGGTGCGAAGGGTGCGGGTTCGGGGTGTGGGAGGTGCGTGTTCCGGTGCGGGTTGGGGGTGCGGAGGATGCGGGTTGGGGGTGCGGGGGGTGTGGGTTCGTGGTGCAGGGTGCGGCTTCCCTCGCACCACGCACCCCACCCCTGCACCCCGCGCCCCGCACCCCACCCCGCACCCCGCGCCCCGCGCCCCGCCCCGCGCCCCGCGCCCCGCGCCCCGCGCCCCGCGCCCCGCGCCCGCGCCCCGCGCCCCGCGCCCCGCGCCCCGCGCCCCGCGCCCCGCGCCCCCCGCGCCCCGCGCCCCGCGCCCCGCGCCCCGCGCCCCGCGCCCCGCACCCGATTTAGCGAAAATTTCCACGATTTAGCGATGCAATGTTCCGCTAAATCGTAAAAATGTTTCGCTAAATCGGGTGCGGTGCAGGATCTGGGGTGCAGGGTGCGGAGTGCGGGTGTGAGGTGCGCTGCACTGCACCACTGCACCCCATGACCCGCACTGCTGCACCCCAACCCCGCACCACTGCACCCAACCACCCGCGCCACTGCACCCCACCACCTGCACCACTGCACCCCACCGCCTGCACCACTGCACCGCACCCTGATTCTATGCTTGGCATCCATGCAACAGAACATTGCTCTTAAAGTTTGGTAACCCTAAACCCGAAAGCCTAAACCCTGAACCCTAAACCCGAAACCCTAACCCTAAATCCCGAGTTCAAGACCTGCTTCCATCACAAGAAGCGAGGCCTGATCGGGAATCCCCAGCCGCACCCAATTTCGCCGCAAGTGCTTGAAGGTTCATTTGGGTGCTCAAAAGAAGGGTTTAGGGTTTAGGGTTTAGGGTTTAGGGTTTAGGGTTTAGGGCTATAGGTACTCTGAACAAGGCTATGACCACAGTTACCCTACATGAAACCACCACCATACTCAGAAGTACCCATGAACCTCCGAGTACGACCGGTTGTCGCGTGGCTTATGTCCGGACGGCAACGCGAAGGAAATACTAGTGCTGGGTGTGCGCACGGCAAGGGCGGCTCCAGCGAAACAGCTAGAAGCCGCATCAAACACATTCAGGGTTTATAGGGTTTAGGGTTTAGGGTTTAGGGTTTAGGGTTTAGGGTCCCTACGAATACCCAAGACCCTCTAAAACCAATACATCCGAATCATATGATGAACACCCGAACGAAAACTTCTACAACCCTCTAAACCGTACAAGCCCTTCAAAACCCTCTCAAATCCGTTCCCCTCCGGTCAAAACCTTCCATACCCCCAGGATGGCCGAGATGCTCCAAAGCAGGCCCGGTCGCGTATGCATGCTGGTCAGGCCTGTCGTTGCTCCCTCTTGCGCTTCAGGGCTCAAAGGGTTTAGGGTTTAGGGTTTGGGGTTGAGGGCTTAGGGTTTATGGGTTTAGGGTTTAGGGTTTAAGGGTTTAGGGCTCAGGGTTTACAGGGTATAGAGTTTGGGGGTTTAGGGTTCAGGGTTTATATGCCAACTGGAGACGACACTCACCTTCCCTGTGTTCATGAGGCATTTCAGGTTTTAGGCCAAAGGTGTGGGGTATAAAACTCTCTCTGCAGCCCATGAAACATGACAACTCCGCCCCGAACCAAAGACCCGGAACGCCTTCGATGTGGATCCGAAAAGCCATATACACCCCAGAGCCAAAACGATCGCTTAGGGATAGGGCCTAGGGAGTCTAGGGTTTCAGGTTTAGGATTTAGGATTTAGGGCTTAGGGTCTAGGACCTAGCATTCTGCACCGGACCTACGACCGCCCCGATGTTGGGTTGGAGGTCTACGGGGTTTGAGAGTTTTGGAACTTCAGGGTTGATTGGTTGCATGGGATTTTCGGGTTTAGGGTTGCGGCGTTAGCGACCTAAACTCCTATACATCCTCGACCCAGTCACACTTTTGCCTTGACCCTGGGCCAAAATCCGCGCGCCTGCCCAAGTCCGCCACGAAGCACTTGCACTCGACGTTTGGGGACCTGGAGGCACAGGGAGGCGTCGGGCTTCGGTTTAGGGTTTTAGGGTTTATATGAGCCAGCATAGCCGCACCACCCCCCCCCCCATGCTAATATCCCCCCCCCCCCCCCCCCCCAATTCATGGTGGGTTTTGGGTCCCCCGCCCCCTGTGGTTCGTTCATGGTCTGTGGTTCATGGGTTTGGGGTTAGGCTGTAGAGTTCAGGACTTTCACTCTGACCCCCTTGGTCCATTGGTTCACGGTGGGTTTAGAGTTTAGGATTCAAGGTTTAGGGTAATGATAGTAGCTGTGGTTCGTGCTGGATTTACGGTTCAGGATTAAAGCGGTTCAGGTTTCTGGTTTACCCTTCTCCCCCCTGTGGTTCTTTGGTGGGCTTAGGTTTTACGGCTCAGGGTTCAGGGTTTGGGGTTTGAGGGTTTCTCTCTCCCCCCCCCCCCCCCCCCCCCCCCCCCTGTGGTCCGTGGTGTTTTTAGGGTCCACGGGCAGGTTTTGGGGGGGGGATACCAGGGGGATACCATTGAGGGGGGGGGGGGAGATTACGCAGAACGCAGGCGCATGTTGGGCTTATAGGGTGTATAGGGTTTAGGGTTTTAGTGTTTAGGATTTAGGGTTTGGACCCTTGTCATGAAACCCTACATCCCATGACCAAGCAGCAGCATAGTTTGACTTTGAGGCTTTATAAGCGTTCAAGGATCAGGGTTCAGGCTACTGGGGTTTGCAGGCGCATGCTGGGTTGACGGTTCAGGATGTAAGATTATAAGCCCTAAAACCCTAAACCCTAAAACCCTAAAGCCTGAACCCTAAACCCTAAACCCTCAAACCCTAGAACCTAAACCGGGGCTCAGGGGCAATAAAGGAACTCGGGCCTGTTTTGGAGAGTGTGTTTGGAATCAGGTTTATCTGCTTGGGCCAGGAGGGCTTTTCGCCCTAAACCCTAAACCCTAAACCCCTTTCGGTTGGGATCTGCTTTGACCGTTGACCAGGGCGTGGTTGTGATACGCTGGAAGCCAAGTCCCAGGAAGTGGGTATTTTAGCCCTGGGAATCCTAAACCCTAAACCCTAAACCCTAAACGCCTTAAACGGAGCTCCCCCACACCCGGACGCTCCATTTTTTCGGCTCGCTTTCTTGTGAAGCATCTTCACGGCGACCAGGACGGTGCGGATGTTGCGGAAACCCAAAAGGCAAACCCTGGACCCCTAAGTCCCTATAATCCCTTTTCAACATTTAAAGCCCCAAACTCAGAACCCTAGAAATATTGGCAAAGACGGCTTACAAGGCAAACAACAGCTCGTGTCTAGTTCTGATGCGATGTTTGCGGGTCACCCTAAACCCTAAACCCTAAACCCAAAACCCTAAACCCTAAACCCTAAACCTTACACCCCAACCTAAACCCTGAACCGTAAACCCTAAACCCTAAACCCTAGACCCTAAACCCTAAACCCTAAGGCCCCAAACCCCAAGCCCTAATCAGGCTTTGCAGGGTTTAGGGCTGCATTACAGCGCTCAGGGCGTCACATGGTCTAGGGCTGACCATGCTTCGTTACTATTGGTTTTATTCCTAGGGTCTAGGGTTTAGGGTTTAGGGTTTAGGGTTTAGGGCTTAAGCAAAGTGAGAGATGCACGCTGGGCCAAACACCCGCGAGGCTCCACGCCTCCGACAACATCCACCTCCTCTGTTGCGCCTACCCCTAACATGGAGGTTCATGGGTACTCAGAAGCAGCGTTTTAGATTTAGGGTTTAGGGTTCAGGGTGGAAGGTTTAGGTTCATGGGTACTCAGAAGTAGGGTTACCTGGAACCCTCCTTATCTACAGTTTTGTGTAGATGCTCCTAACCTGTAGGTAAAAAGAGTCACAGGAAAAAAGTACCCTAGATAAGGTTATAACCATATTTATCCTACTTGAAACACTTCTGATGAGTACCCTGATGAATCTCCAAGAAACCCTTCATCAGGAAATCTTTCGGCTGATGTCCAGAAAAGGATTCTCGATGTTTTTGTGGACGATCGCGTAGCTGCCGTCGACGATCCTTGGGGGCATAGGGTTGTGGCGTTCTAAAACAGGGGCCTTAACGATTAGAATAGGGTTTTGGGGGTTACGAAAGTACAATTAGATAGGGAGCACCAGGGAATAACATTAGCAATAGTTCCGACCGCTATGGTCGGGCTGTAAGGTTGGAGGATGTAGGGCTGAGATGGTCTAGGACCTAGGGTTTAGTGCCTCGACACTAGACCTTCATCCCTAAGCCCTGGGCTTAGGGAGGAAGAGTCACAGAAAAAGACTGAGGTCACCTGCAAAGAGAGCTCGGGCATAGGGTTTAGGATTTAGGGATTCGCACTTGGGGTGAAGCCAATCTAATCCTGCATCAACCTACATCTATGTTCACAACGACATCTTCCCTGCTCCCTGCATCTATTTAGGTAGAGGGGCCTAGTCAGCTAGAATGCGCATTCTGGGCAGTTTTGTACTAGAAGTGGTAGGGTTCTAAGGGGGTACTAGCGAAACCACGAAGCCCGAATGACTTGTAATGCTTTACACATGCGGGCTAGCAGCCCTGATTCTAAACCCTAACCCTCGGAAAATCCTGAACAGCTGTAAAACCCTAAACCCTAAACCCTAAACCCTAACCCTAAACCCTAAACCCTAAACCCTGTAAAGCCACCGCAGAGCTGAAACCCCCCCAATGCTCCAAACCCGAAGCCGGGCACCCTAAAACCATTAAACGCAGACTCCAAAAACCCCAAGACCATCTGGAACCCCAAGACTTCTAATCCATAGGATTATGGGATTAAACTTCGAATCTTAAACTTCGAACCCAAAACCCTGAACACCAAACCCTGAACCCCAACCCCCAAATCCTAAACACTCAACCCGGAACTCCTAAGCTCCTAAAACTCCAACCCCGAAACTCGATTGTTTAGGGTCTAGGATTTAAGGTGTAGGGTTTAGGGTAAACCCTAAGAACACTCCAACGTTGCTTTAAGCAAGGGGTCCATAGTACGGGTTCAAACTTGAGGGTTTAGGGTTTGGAAATGTGCGTTTCAGGCTTGAGTGTTGAAGGTTTACAAATTAGGTTGAGGATTTGAAGATTCAGCAGGGGGGGGGGGGGGGGGGGGCAGGTTTCAGGATATTGGGGCTTGGGCGCATGCCCTTTGCAGATGTTCTTGTGGCCACAGCCCAAGTACGTCCCCACACTCGACACTGGAAACACCCACTGTTCTGCACATTCGTGTACTAAGCCCTCTTATAGAAGTTCTTAGGCCACCTGCCAGAAGAAGCCCCAAACGCTGACCCTAAATTTCGAAAGTAGGAACCCGCCAGCAAGTTAGTTTTCCTAAGGGCCGCTGTGCCCACAACCGTATACACCCTAAGGCTCTTGGGCCCCTCAAAACCCCAGGAATTGAGACCCCAGAACCCTCCTGAAAAAGGGCACCAGACCCTCTGTAGAAGACTCCGTGGAGCCTTAAGGCACTGGGGCAGGGAAGCTGCAATACAGGAAGTCCTAAGTCGAACATGGCCCTAGACCCTAAAAACCTAAAACCCTAAACCCTAAACTCCAAACCCTAGACTCAGACCCTAAACCCCAGCCCCCCAAACCCTGAAAGCCCCAAACCCTACTTGGAGGTTCAGGCTACTTATGGGCCCAGTTAGCTGTACTTATAAGCCCCCCTAAGTCCTCTAAGTAGGTTATAAGTAGATGAAGGTTTAGGGTTTGGGGTTTAGGGTTTAGGGTCGGATTCCTCAGGATGCCATGCAGGGAGCTCTGTGGTGTAGGTCCAGTCCTTGAAGGTTTCTCGGAGTGCTTGGTCGGCAAGGGGCGTCTGACCTTCTCGGCTTCAGGGATTTTGGAAATAGGGTTTTTAGGGTTTCGTGATTTGGGGTTTAGGGCTTAGGGAATCTACGGTTTTGGGGTTTAGGAATTTTAGGGATTTTCAGGCTTTTTAGGGCTTTAAATACTAAGGTTCGGGGTTTTTTTGCAGGGCCTTTTGCCTTACCCCGCACCCTACTGAGCAGCTTCAGGGCTTGGGGTCCTGGGCACGTAAGAGCCCCTAGATGCCCCGTATATACCCTCTACAACCCTTCAGAACCCTTTAAAGGAGGTATAAGGGACCACATGAAGGGGCCATGCAACTTCTCTTAAGTACCAGGCAGCCCCTTCCCTTCCGTGTTCCCACAAACCCTAGAGACAAGGATACCCATGTTCCCAGAGCCCCTTGTTAAGACATTGTGTGTTCTATAAGACCTTGTCAGGGTTTAGGGTTTAGGGTTTGGGGTTTAGGGCTTCGACACAGAGCACTTTCGTTCCAGAACAGGCAAGAAGGCAGGCCAAGAGGCAGGCGTCTTCAATCAGCTTCACCGGAATGGTGGAGCCGGAGTCTCGCCCGTACTTCGCCATGCACATCTCCTCGGAGAGCTCTCGCTTAAGGTTTATGGCTTGGGGTTTAGGGTCTATAGGGTTTAGGGCCGTTTAGGTTTAATTACGGTTTAGGGTTTAGGGTTAAGGGTTTAGGGTTTAGGGTCTGCAGGGTTTAGGGTTTTAGGATGGAATTGCAGGGTTCAGGAGGGGGACTTACAAAGAGCAGAGGGTTTTGCAAAATGGTACTCCCGACGTGTTCCTTAATTTAGGGGTCTTGGCTGCCTCGGTATGTACTTGGAGCTACACGGGTACTTGTAAGTAGGGTTATAAGCAGGGCAACTATGGCCATAACCTTGTTTAGGGTGTTGATAGCCATCCTCAAACGTGCCCAAATGAACCTTCAAGTAGCCCTAAACCCTAAACCCTAAATCCTAAACCCTAAACCGCCAAGCTTCATAGATCTGGGCGACCTGGCCATGCATCAGCATGGGCACGCCGTGCTTGGCCGCCAAGCCTCGGCCAGTCAACGTCAACCCAGCAGAGCCCAAGACCCCTTAAGTAAGGAAGTTTAGGGTTTAGGGTTTAGGGTTTAGGGTTCAGGGATTAGGGTTTAGGGTTTAGGGTTTAGGGTTTAGGGCTTCTTACTTAGAGGTTCGTGGGTACTTATAAGTTGGGTTATGAGTAGGATAACTATGGTTATAACCCAACTGGGGGTACTTTTATCCCTACTTACAAGTATCCATGAGCCTTCAGGGAAGCAAGGGGGAACAACTTAGGGTGCTGCATTTAGGGTTTAGGTATTTAGGGTTTAGGGGATTCTTAAACCAATTTCGGCACTTAGCCTTTTGTTGTCCAAAACCCGAGCCGAAAGCCTAGCTAGGTTGTCCAGGAATGTAGGATGAAAAAGGGTGCCCTTTGGTTGTTCATAGTGGTCTATAAGGGAATCTGAGCCACAAAAACGGAAAATGAGGCTAGACCCGGGAGTAACCTAGTAATACAAAGGGTGCCCTCTTTGGGTTTAAGGAGATTATAAGGGAACCCCAACCCTAAGAAAAGGAAAAAGTGCCTACTCCCGGTCCTAGAAGCGTACCACTGGGCATCCACCGAACCCTCCTGCCTGAAACCCTCTGACTCTAAAGACCTGGAGCTCCAAAGCCCTCAAACCCCCCAAACCCAAAAAACAACAGTTTAGGGGTTTAGGGTTTAGGGCTTAGGGTTTAGGTTTAGGGACAGCCCCCCACCTCCCCCCCCCCCCCCCCCAAAAAAAAAAACAAAAGAAACAACAACAACAAACCCCAAGCCTTGGCCAAGCTGGATGTCCTTCGCCATCATCTCTGCCGTGAAGTCCTGGAGAGAGTACTTGGAGGTTCATGAGACTTGTATGTGGGTTTCCGAAAATGGGGGTCCATAATGGGGGACCCTTTTTGGGGCTCTTCTTTGCTGGGAGGGCCCCATACGGGAAGGCCCTTACATGGAAGGCCCCTTAAGGGGATTCCCATGTTATTTGTGGGGATAATCCTACCCCTTTTTGGGAAGTACCCATATGTAGGCTTCATAAGTAGGGTAACTATGGTCACAGCCTTGTTTACTGGACTTATAACTCTACTCATAACGAGCGTCACAAAGTTTATGGCCTTGTTGAGGGTCTAATAACCCTATACTTACAGGGAATTACCCATAAACCTTCAAGCACGGACATACCTAGAAACCAAACCCTCAACCCTGTACCCTGAACCCGAAATTCGCTAGTTATCTCTGGGGGTTTGGGGCCTTTTCGTCTTGCGGCCTTTTAAGGCTTCAAGGCTCGTTGGGGATATGGGGCTTCGGTTCCTTTCGGGTTTTGGGGCCTCAAGACTGTAGTTCTGCAAGGTTGTGGGGCCTCCGGGCCTTTTGGCACGCGGAATGTTTTGATTATTAACTTTACGGAGTGCGGATGCGAATAGAATCGTGTCCCGTCGCTCGTATTTTCACGGAACGCATACAGCTTTCCCGTGTGTTTTACTTTAGTATACTCGCGGGTGAACCAAGAAAGTAAGCTGTTGTGAAACCGCGTGCAGGAGGCTTGCCAAAAGGCCGTTCATAATCCTGCTAACTTTCACTATACTGTTCTACCCTGTTTAGTAGGTTTATGAATTTTCACTATCATGTTCTACCCTGTTTAGTAGGGTTCATAAGCTTTCACTACAATGTTCTACCCTGTTGAGTAGGGGCCTCCTGAATTAAGTCAAGTTCGCCCGGCCATTCAGGACCGAGTGATTTTGGGGGGTCTAGGGGACTACTTGGACATTCATGGTACTCATTAACCAATTATAACTGTGCTTATAACCCACTCATAAGCCCCTTAAGTGCCCGAATATGGATATGAGCACAGCTACAAGTACAGTCATAATTGGTTAATAAGTACCATGAACCTCCAAGTAGGGGACTTGACTGGGAAGTCGACCCCTCAAGTTGTTCTTTTGCAAGACTCTGCCGAAAAGCCAGCAGCGCCAACTAAGCCCCCAAGGACCACTGGTTACCAAGAACCTACTTGGGGATGTAAGTAGGGTAACTATGGTTAAAAGCTTGTTTAGTCGTACTTATAACCCTGCTTAAAGTACTCAGCTCAACCTCCAAGTAGATCCTCACAGAAACTTGGCCACTTGATAGCTGAGGGTCCGGGTAGTAGGAGCCATCCGCAACGCGTGCAAACTCTGTCTCCTTAGCGGAACATGTCGGACGTGAGGACGACCTCTAAACCCTACCAAGCCCTGTCCAGACCTAGCCTCTGTGTGAGTTCATGGTCCCCGTATACGGGAAGCGTGTGTACTTGGATGCCTTTTCATGCATTTTGGGCTTCAGGTTGAAGGTGTAGGGTTTAGGGTTTAGGGTTTAGGGTTTAGGGTTTAGGGTTTAGGGTTTAGGGTTTAGGGTTTAGGGTTTAGGGTTTAGGGTTGACGCTAAGAACCACCGCATTCCGGGCCAGGTCTCCCAGCAGAAGGAGTTGCCCGAGGAGATCCGCATGGCATCGAAGAGCCTCCGTTGGGTCTTACTTGGAGGTTAAGGGTGCTTGTAACCCCAATTCTAGGGTTTAGGGCTTAGGGTTTAGGATTTAGGGTTTAGGGTTCAGGGGTACTTAGAACCCCAATGATAACTGCACCTATAGGCCCCCTAAGTCCTCTAAGTAGGTTAGAAGTAGACATATAATGGGGTTTTAAGTACCCTAACTTAGGGGGCTACTTCGTTATGAGGTTCACCCACTAACATTTCTGGACAAATTCCTACATCGGCTTGTTACATGGTGTTACATTGTGCCTTTATACAGGCCCTTGAAGAGGGGGTGGGGGGGGGGGGACCCCTTATACGCCCCTTGTATACCGTATACAACCCAAGGGCCCATGCATCAGAACCCTTTAAAGGAGGTAAGGGACCAGATTAAAGGACCAACTACCCTTAGATTTTAGACACCCTATACAACCCAAGGGCCCATACATCAGAACCCTCTAAAGGAAGTAAAGGACCATAGCCAAGGCCCCATATAACTTCCCGTAGCTTGTAAACTATTCCTAGGGACTGCCCGGTTGAGTTTCTTTTCACCCTCTGGAACCAGAAACAACGTGTTCGTGCAAGCGAGCGCTTTGGGTCAGGCACACCTTGAAGCGCAAAGTTGCGCATGAGAAAAATGACCCTCTTGAGTCGTCTTCATGCAGGTCTAAACCCTAAACCCTAAACCCTAAATCTAAACCCTAAACCCTAAACCCTAAGGGTGTCTAAGGTAGGGACCTGAGGCTCCAAGGGTTTAAGGGTGCAGGGTTGACCAGTCTAGGGCTCCAGGTTGAGACCCAGTCTCAACTCAGGGGTACAAAAGGGGGGGGGGGGGGGGTTAGGGGCTTGGGGTCTGAGGTGTCGGGTTAGTTTTCGGGTAGGGTTTCGGGTTTAGGTTTAGGGTTTAGGGTTTGAGGGTTGAGGGTTGAGGGTTGAGGGGGGGGGCTGGGTTTAGGGTTTAGGGCTACTGGAAGTCGGATAGTTTGGGTTTACCTTCTTGGGTCTCACGGTGAATGCCAGGGAACAACTTCATGTCGACGCCGCTTTTCTTCGCGATCATCATGACCTTGGAAGCCAGTGGTGCTGGTAGTGCCCCTGTAACGGTTTAGGGTTAGGTTTAGGGTTTAGGGTTTAGGGTTTAGGGTTTAGGGTTTAGGGTTTTTAGGGTTTAGGGTTTAGGGTTAAGGAGTTTAGGTTTAGGGTTTAGGGTTTATAAAACCTTCGGCCCCTACTTGGAGGTTCATGAGTACTTTCATATGTAGAGTTATGTAAGCACTTGGAGGTTCAGGGTACTTATAACCCCAAGTATATAAACTGTACTTGTAAGCCCCCTAAGTCCTCTAAGTAGGTTATGAGTAGACATAAAATTGGGGCTATAAGTGCCCATGAACCTCCAAGTAGGGCAACTATGGCTATAACACGTTTTAGGGAAAAACTTCTAACCCTACCCATAAGCACCCCAATGAACCTCCAAGTAACCCCCCCCCCCCCCCCTAAACTCCCCTAAACCTCACTGTGCCGCTGGGCTCCAAGCACCAAGCCTTCAGAGGCGAGACCCAAGGGTAACCCAGGAATAACAACAGGGCGCTCGTTGTGGTGAAAGGGGGCTTATAAGGGAACCCAAACCCTAAGAAAAGGGAAGAAGGGCCTACTCTGGGTCCTAGAAGGGTTTTGAGGGTTCGTCCTAGGGCATGGGGGTTTGGGGTTTTACCTGGTTCGCCCGAAGTATGTAAAAATCAAAACCCAAAACCCACAAAAAGGTGCCGTTATAGTACACATCTTGGGGCTCGAGGGTTTGGGGCTTCGGGCGCGTAGATGCTTCTTTTGACGAGGGTTACCGAAGGGGGGGTATCACGAGGGTTATCGAAGGGGGGTATAACGTCATCCGCTCGGACTTTTAAAGCCTCAGCGAACCCCTTGTTGCCGAGGTTTTTGGAGTTTTTGGGGTTTGGGGTTTCATGGCTTAGTTGGAAGCCCGTGGGCCCCCCCTGAAGCCCTACATAACCCTACTACACCCTATAGTTAAGCAGTACAAGCCCTCTGCCCCGCCTTCCAACCCCCTAAGCCCACAACGCCCCACAAAGGCCCTGAACAAATATCAGCCCCCTACGCCCCAACCCCAAACCCTACGCCCTATTTCCCCGAAACCCTATAAACCCTATAGACCCTTTTCACCATATAAACCCTATAAACCCTTTAAACCGTATAAACCCTATAAACCCTATCAAGCCTATAAACCCTAAGCCCCCAAAACAGCCCTGATGCTGGCCTCACCCATCGCGCAGTCTTGAACAGCGCAGAGCATGTTCGTCAGAATCTTCACCACCGTCTCGTGGCCGAATTCGCCTGGGACTCTGGGTCTGGGGTCTGGGGGGGGGGAGCTTGCGATAGAACCCTAAACCCCTAAACCCTAAACCCTAAACCCTAAACCCTAAACCCTAAACCCTTAAACCCTAAACCCTAAACCCTAACCCCAATTAGTCACACATTTCGTCTTGCTGCCTGGCCGAGCTTAATTGCAGAAAGTTCTTTTTTAGTGAGTCTCCAATATGTTTATTGGTATGAAATTCCGGGAGCATTGTGTTCTGTTGCTGAGCTTTTGCAAAAGCTACAGCGGAATCCAGAACACCAAAGGAACTAAACCCGAAAGCCTACTGGAAGGTTCATGGGTGGTTATAGGTAGGGTTAGAAGTATCCGAAAATGAGGTTCTCACCATACTTCCCTCCGTACAACCCTCCTTTAGAAGTATCCCTAAGCCCTACACCTTAAAACCCTGCACCCTACATAATTGTAAGTAGTATCCCTAAACCCTACACCCCAAACCCTACACCCTACTTCCAAGTATCCATGAACCTCCAGGTAGATGTGGCCATGCGGCCGCAGCGGATGATCCGAGGAGCCGACAATGAGATCAGCGGCTTCACCTTTGGACGCAGCAGGGTTTACTGGGCTCAGAGTTCAGGGCATATCCCCCGAACCCCAAACCCTAAACCCTCAACCCTAAATCCTAAACCCCAAACCCTAAACCCTAAATCACATCTTTTGTAGTGACATCGCCCCCCTCCACCCCCTTCCCCCCCCCCCCCCCCCCCCCCCCCAACCCCGGGCTCCTAGAACTTCCAGCTGAGGGTTTAGGGTTTAGGGTTTAGGGTTTAGGGTTTAGGGTTTAGGGTTTAGGGTTTAGGGTTTAGGGGATTTGGGACGTGCCGGCTCTGGAGGCACTCATGTTCTCTGACTTCTTGGTTAAGGTAGGGTTTAGGGTTCTAGAGGGTTAGAGGGTTAGAGGGTTCTAGGGTTCTAGGGTTCCACAGCTTGATGGCTTGAGAGGGACAACAAGGGATCTGATTTACAAGGTCTTGGGTAAGGAAAGAATCCCCGAGATTTCGTTCAGGGGCTGTACTTTCTACTTCACGAATACACAGAAAACCAGTCCGTTTAGGGTGTCGTGTCAAGCAAGGGCCATCTCTTTGCAATACTTTTGGCCAGGAGCGCGCTGGAAAGTCTCCTCATCCGCGCCGACCTTTCTTCCACCAAGCGCCAGCAGGACTTTGTGTGTGTGTGTGTGTTCTTGTTATTCTTTGGGGGCTGTGGGTAAGGCTGCTTTGAGTTTCAACAGTGCCAAAGCCCATATGATGAACCCTAAACCAAACTTGGTGTGACATCCCTAACGACGTAGGTTTCAACTGCGGGTCTACATAACGGTGACACAACGACTACAGCGATTCATGGTGTCCTTCCTACTTGGAGGTTCATGGCTGCTTAAAAGTAGGGTTATAAGTAGGGCAACTATGGTTATGACCTTATTGAGGGTACTTAGAACCCAGCTTATAAGTACCCATGAACCTCCAAGTACTCTAATTAATGATCTTAGAATCTACACCGCTACAATACGGTGCCTTGTAAGGTTTGTCATGACTCAGGGATCCACTGCTTCGTTGAAGGAACTTCTGTTAGGGGCTAAACCCTAAACCCTAAACCCCAAACGAGTCTTTTGGGTGGCCAAAGCCCCTATGAGATCTGGGATTCAGGATCCAAGAAACACGGCCACTGCAAGCAAGGTGCCAGGGCCACCATTTTTCCAACCTTCCTTTGCGCACAGGGAGTATAGGGTTTAGGGTTGAGGGTTTGGGGTTCACGGCAAGATAAGGGTCAGACCCTAAACCCTAAACCCTAAAGACCCAATACCCAGACGCTAAGTGATGCCACCCTGCATGCGCGACGGCACACCAAACCCGCCTCTATGAAAGCCAAAGCTGTAAACCCCAAAGCCCTACAAAGCCTGCACACTAAACCTGAAACCCTGAAACCCTAAACCCTGGCCCCCAAAACCCTAAAACCAAACCATACAAGTCTTGGCTGCACTCAGAAGGGTAGCTATAAATTACATTTTTAGCTGCCTTGTGAAGAAATCCAAAAAACCCAAAAAGGCTGTTGGGATCAGACGCTGCTGCCTGTGATCTTGGTTGCTTGCGATGTGGCGAAGGGCTGGGTTTAGGGTTTCTGGTAGCTCAGAAACCACATTATCCCAAGGGCACCTTACCCTAAAGCCTAAACCCTAAACCAAGGGAAGAGTTGAACCGAACAGAGGGGCAAAAGTGCACCACCTGGCCTGCCAAGGTTTCGAAACCCCAAACCCCTACACTGCCCCTTAGGGTTTAGGGTTCTGCTTGTGCCAACACCTCAATGTAGCATGCCCTAACCCTGCAACCCTCAGCCCGAAACCCTAAACCCCAAACCCGAAATCCGAAATCCTAAGCCCTAAACCCCAAACCCTAAACCCTAAACCCCAAACCCTTTTCCATAGAAGCCAGGTCTCAAGATTTGCATACCACCCGTCACGGGAGCCGCCACGGCCTCTCCCGTAGCCAGAAGAAGCACAAAAAAGGGAAGATGTTTAGGGTTTAGGGTTTAGGGTTTAGGGTTGAGGGCTTAGGGGGGTTGAGGGCTTAGGGTGGAAGGCTTAGGGTTTCGGACCCTACATGTAAGAACCGAAGGCTGTTCGGAACTGCTGTCCTAGGCATTGCTTCGTGTGTCTTGGCCTCCTATTCGCTGGACGAAGGAAGTATACAAACGAACGAGGACGTGAGCACAGACTCAGGACATCTTGCACTGAGGTGTGTTTTTGTTCTCTCCCTCTGCCTTGTTATGACACCGTTTGTGATATGGGGGTTTACGTAAATAGGGGACCCCCTAGATTGGTATCTCCTTATAATACAAGGACCCCAATCAGGTACCCTAATTTCGGAAACCGCCCCCGCATATTGTAACCTTGGGGGTTCTTACTTATATTGAATGAAAAACAACCCACATAAAGTGCTGGCAGTTGTCAACACTCGGCAACGTCCACACCCTCCATATCATAAACCATGCACCAACTGAAGAAGTCATCAGGGCTTCAGAAGAGGCCCTAAACCCTAAACCCTAAACCCTAAACCCTAAACCCTAAACCCTAAACCCTAAACCCTAAACCCTAAACCCTTAATTTCGCACTATCATATTAACTGAAAACGTCAAGGAGCTGTATGCTTCAACAATGATTGGGCTTCGCGCGGCCCTTTGACTTCGTACTGCGGCTTTGATCACAAACAAACGCGCTCTCATTGCATCACAAGACAAGCCAGCTGATGCCCAAACCCCAAACCCCAAACCCCAAACCCCAAACCCAAAACCCCAAACCCCAAACCCTAAACCCAAGAGTGTGAACATAGTTGTTTTTTGCATGGCCGTAGGGTTTGGGTCTGAGATGCCTGGCCAAAGCATGGCACAGTAGGGTGGAGCATGCTGTCGGGAGCCCTGCGCCGGTTCAGGGTTTAGGGTTTAGGGTTTAGGGTTTAGGGTTTAGGGTTTAGGGACGCCCAGCAACCTCGCAGCCTTTCATTGCTTTATGATTCGGAGAACACTTGGAAATCATGAGCATGTCCCATGTCTCACCCTAAGAGCATTCAGACACTTGCTGTCCAACTTGAGCTCTCATGGCTACTTGTATGTGGGGGTTAGGGTTTAGGGTTTAGGGTTTAGGGTTTAGGGTTTAGGGTTTAGGGTTTAGGGTTATAAGAGCCCTAAACAAGGCAATGACCATAGATACCCTGCTTATAACCGTACGTCTAAGTACCCCCTAAACCCTGAACCCTAAACCCTCTTCGGGCCTATGAACAAAAACATCAGAACAGTTTCTTTCCCCGCCTTGCCCCCGCGCTTCTCAACTTCAGCGCGGATCTTGACGGTGTTTTCGAAGTCCTGGATCTTTGGAGTTTGGGCTTTCAAGGTTTTAGGGTTTAGGGTTGCAGGGTTTAGGGGTTTGGGATTTTAGGGGTTTACGGTTTTAGGGTTTTGGGGTTCCCCAAAACCCTGTACCGTAACTCTAGGGAGCAAGCCATGTCAGGTGCCGAATGTAAGCGATCTAGGCTGAACATGTAGAACCCTCTGAATATACATCCTCCCTAACCCTAAACCCTATATCCTAAACCCTAAACCTTCAGCCCCAAAAGGCAACACCGGAAACAATCCAACGTCCCACGATATGGTTCAGGAAGCCTTGACCCTGAGCTCGGCCCGTTGCCCGTCACTGTGGGGTCATCTACAAGGCTCTGCAGTATCAATAGGGAGAGCAGCTGGAACACACTCCCCTCTTTGGGTTTTAGGGTTAAAGCTCTAAACCCTCAAGGGTGTAGGGCCTCGGCACCGGACCGGTCGAAGGTTTGAGGGCTCAAATCCCCAGGGTTTCGGGTTTAGGGTTTAGGGCTTAAGGCCCGCGACTTCCAACCCTCAACCTTGAAGAGGCTACGGCACAAGCCCGGCTGGCCCCCTAGCCATGAAGTTGAGGGAGATTCAACACAAATACCTTGAGGGGTCTTGGTTTCGCCCCTAAACCCTGTACTTATAGACCCTGAACCCTAAACCCTAAACCCCAAACCCTAAACCCTAAACCTACCCCCACCCTCGGGGAGATGAGGAGGGCGAGCCACCGTCGTCGAATGCTCGATCCACACGGCTCCGGGCTGCAGCCCGGCCAAGATGCCTCCAGCTCCAAAGCTAAGGGTAGTTTAGGGTTTAGGGTTAGGGTTTAGGGTTTAGGGTTTAGGGTTTAGGGTTTAGGGTTTAGGGTTTAGGGTTTAGGGTTTAGGGTTTAGGGTTTAGGGTTTAGGGTTTAGGGTTTAGGGCGACATGGCCTTCGATGTCTAAGGGTATTTACAACCCTAAGTAACCCATAAACCCTAAAGTGAAGCGATCAGAAATTTTGAGGGATCCTCAGGGCTTTGAGGAACGCAACGGTTTATCTGGAAAGTTCAAAGGGATGTAGGGTTTCGGGTTCGGGTTTACCCAAAGGCTCCAATGTCGTTCCTTTTTGGGTTAGCTATAGGGGATTCTGGAGCCTTTGGGTAGGTTTTAACTTAGAGGTTCAAAGGGGGTCATGGACGTAAAGGGCTTTCAGGCTGAGGGGCTTAAGAGCTTAAGGGCGTAGGGTTTGGGGGCTTAGGACTTCCCAGTTGTAGGGGCTTTGGGGTTTTCGAGCTTTCTTAGGGTAGTTCCATGGTCCTTTAGTATGGGCCCTTAAACTGGGCCCAGCTAAACCCTGCACACTGGCCCACACCCGAAGCCTTAGCCCTAAACCCTAAAAAAAAAACCCTAAACACCCTAAACCCCTAAACCCTATACCCCACACCCCAAACCCTATACCCTGCACCCCAAACCCTAAACTCTCGAAGGTTTAGGGCTCTGGAACCAAAGGCACATCAGCCTTTCTAAGGGCAGTTGTATGGTCCCTTGGTATGGGCCATTGATTTATTGGGAGATCCCTTACACACCCTATAGGACCCAATGGTTTAGGGCCGAGGGTTTAGGGTTAGGGCTTAGGGCTGAGGGCTTAGGGCTTAGGGTTTAGCCAAGTGCCGTACTTCTTCAAAGGAGGTAAGGGGACCATATTCAGGCACCATGGAACTGCCCAAAGACGGCCTGAAGCCCTGGTTGCCCCTGGTTGTCGAGTTTGGGGCGTTTCCTGCACTTGCGTTTAGGGTTTAGGGTTTAGGGTTTAGGGTTTAGGGTTTAGGGTTTAGGGTTTAGGGTTTAGGGTTTAGGGTTTAGGGTTTAGGGTTTAGGGTTTAGGGTTTAATTAGGGGTTAGGGTTTCGGTTCTTAGGCTCCCCTAAATGCCTGCAATGATGCGCAAGCCCTAAACCCTTAACCGTGCAGCTCTGTTCGGCTGGCCGGATCTTCTCCGAAGCACAGGCAGCCCTAACAACTCAAAGCTCTAAATCACGAAAACAACTTTGTTCAGGGCGTAGTGACCCTAAAGCCTAGACCCTATACCAAACCCTAAACCCTAAACCCTAAACCCTAAACCCTAAACCCTAAACCCTAAACCAAAAACCCTTAACCCTAAACCCTAAACCCTAAACCCTAACCCTAAACCCTACAGCCCAGACAAGAGGCCATCGTCTTTCACCTTGTCCCCTTCGATGCCCATCGCTGCGGAGACGTGCTCCTTGGATGCAAAGTTTAGGGTTTAGGGTTTAGGGTTTAGGGTTTAGGGTTTAGGGTTTAGGGTTCAATTTAGGCTCTCTTCGTATAGAATTAGGGTTTAGTTTAGGCGCTCTTCGTCATCCCTTTGGGATCAACGAGCGCTGCGCACAGCAAAAATGGGCAAAATAATTGTGACCACTTTACAATTGCTTCGACGACAGAAGCTGCCACGGGGATGTGACAGCCGCAGGGAAGCGACCAAGAGCGCAAAGCCGAATTACACGCTGCACATCTTGGTCATCCTTGCTCAGCTGCAGTTGCTGCTCCAGGAACTTCACCATCTCCACCAAAGGGGTCCTGCATCATCGGAACCTAAACCCTCGCCCCGAAACACAAAAGACACGACAAAACAGCAATGTCCTGGTCACGACCCCCTCGAAGGTGACTGTGTGGGGCTGGAAAAGCAACCGCTGTCCCAGTCGGCCAGTTCCGCGCTAAGCCAGACTTCTTCGGCGGGGACCCAGACCCGTGGAACAATGTCGTGCTTGGATATAAAATCCTTCCACGGCGCCTTGCTGTCCACGTCCAAAGGCAATGGGTCGCGGGACAACATGCTTGAGAGGTGTTCCGAAGCTCGTGGAGTCTTTGCAACGACTCCCCCTTTCTTGAGATGCTTCGCAGCCACCTGCATGACCTCAGAGGCTTCCCATTTTTTAGGACAGTCAGTGGCCGCGTGCTCCAAATGGCACATGTCGAAGGCCAAGTCCATTAACCCATGGCGGACTCTCTCTGAATCACCTCAGTACCGCTGGCATGCTATGAGAGAATACTGTTATGATTTCAAAAATGTGACAACATCTTAATCGTGCAGTTCGTCACTTGCCCCTCGCCCGTTTCTAGTCAGCTGAGATGCAGGTGCAACTCGCGAAAATTGCCTTCTCTAGTATAGAGCTAGGGTTTAGGGTTTAATTTAGGCTTTCTTGGAGGTTATGGAAATTTATAAGTAGGAAAAATACGTAGGGCAACTATGGTTATATCCTTATGCAAGGCGCGTCTAGCCCTACTTACAAGTACCCATGAACCGTCAAAAAGGGGTTGGGGCTGAAAACCCTCTCGCCCACGATCCCCGTCCCAGACCCCGAAACACCGAAAGCCTACATGGCAAGAAACACATACAAATGTGGGTCAGGAAAACCGATATCTTTTCAGTTATCAGAAATACCGTCCCTTTTTGGGTACACTAAATAAGAAGGGCCCCAGTACCCCCCAACAAAGCTTTTTGGAGCTGGGCTGCTCGGGGTGTATCAAATTTCCTAGACTCCCTTTTTGAGAGGTTTAGGGTTTAGGGTTTAGGGTTTCAGGGTTTAGGGAATATCTTTCGCAACCCCCCTCCCCCCCAATCCCCTATTTTGAGCCTACTTGTAAGGGCAAGACGGTAAGACCCTCCAGGAAGACGCCTCACGCCGACACGGCTCCGGTCGTGGTAGGCCGGTGAGGATGACGTCGCCTGGGCTGAGGGAAAGGTTCGTTTAGGGTTTCGGGGGGTTTAGGGTTTAGGGTTTAGGGTTTAGGGTTTAGGGTTTAGGGTTTAGGGTTTAGGGTTTAGGGTTTAGGGTTTAGGGTTTAGGGTTTAGGGTTTAGGGTTTAGGGGCGTGAAGAAAGGGCTTCCCTAAGACCTACGTAAACGCTCTAACGAAGTTTAGGGTCCTCAGCCCACGTGCGGCCCCCAAGTTCTCTCCAACTCTGTCGGCTTCTGCACTTCGAGATTGGGGGTTCCACAGGCAGAAGTGTATATACCCTCTGGTTGGTTTTCCCTAAGCCCTAAACCCTAAACCCTAAACCCTAAACATTAAACATTAAACATTAAACCCTAAACCCTAACATGCGAACCCTAAACCCGAAGCCCCGAACCCCAGGTTCTAGGGTTGCAGAGAGACATGGGTGTGGCACGCTAAACCCTGAACCCTGAACCCTGAACCCTAAACCCTAAACCCTAAATCCTAAACCCTAAACCCTAAACCCTCCTTGAAGTTGTGGTCCTGGATGCCGTTCTCGTGTGATAAAGTGGGCTTCGGTTTGGGGTTTGGGGATGAATTAGGGGTTTAGGGGTTAAGAGTTTGGGGGAGGGTTTAGAAGCTTAGGGTTTGGGGGTTTAGGGTTTAGGCTTGAGGGTTTATATAGGTGGTTTAAGGTCGCAGTATATGATGCTCAGCTAGAAGAGTCATGTTGTCCGAGTGGAAATATTCGGGATTTTCGCTCAGGCTTCAGGAATCCGAGTGGGAACAATTGCGAAATTGTCAGGTCAATAGATCACCCTCCACCATAATGAACCCTCAACCCCAAAAAATGTTTAAGACGCCTTTTCTGGTTATACTAACAGTCCTTGTCTGGGATTATAGTACCCCCTCTTCTAATCCCTATTCAGGACTGTTAGTATAAGGGGGCTAAACCCTATAAACCCAAACCCTAAACCCTAAACCCTAAACCCTAAACCTTTCAGGTGGGCAGCACTGTTCCGCCACAGCTTTGCAGGACGACGCCCACTGCGCACCAGAGTCAAGCAAAGGCTTTGCGAAGGCCTCGCCCTTGGCCTGAGTTTAGGGTTTAAGGTTTAAGGTTTAGGGTTTAGGGTTTAGGGCTAAGGGTTTAGGGTTTAGGGGTTTGGGTTTGGGGTTTGGGGTTTAGGGCGCAGGGTCCAGGGTTTAGGGTTTAGGGTATAGGGTTTAGGGTTTAGGGTTTAGGGTTTAGGTTTAAGGGCTTTGGGTTTAGGGTGTAGCTTGTGGGCTTCAGGGTTCAGGGGGGCTTGAGGTCTAAGCCCTGTAAGCCTTGCATGAAATTAAAGGTCTTGTCCAGGCTTGAGAGAATGTCGAGGTCCTGGAACTAGCACGATGTCAGCAAGGGGTGCGAAAAATAGTGGAGGTCGAAGCACAACTGAATGGGGCTTAAAGGTTTCGGATTGAAGGGTTAGGGTTCAGGAATTTGGGGTAGGGTTTTTGGTGGGCTTAAAAAGGGTTTTTGGGTATTGGGTTCAGGGTTCAGGGTTTGCAGCCCATGTGCATGTGACTGCCCCTCCGAGCCTAAGCCCCCACTGAGTTGGGGACTTAGGCACCGACTGTCCCCTCTCATGCTCGCCCCATTTGTCTTAGTCGCTGAGTTCATAAGCCCCCCAAAATGTGTACACTTTCAGTTCTACAGGGGATTAGGGTATCCCAAAAAGTATAAAGTGTACTCAGTCAGCTGATAGGTTTTGAGACGCTAGAGGGAACCTGTTTTTCACCAAAACCCCTGCTTGACCACGACCTATGTAGGGAACCGACTTCTCTCAAAAATCCCGCCCCCTCCCCCTCCCTAAACCCTAAAACCTAAACCCTAAACCCTAAACCCTAAACCCTAAACCCTAAACCCTAAACCCTAAACCCTAAACCCTAAACCCTAAACCCTAAACCCAAATTCTAAACCCCTAACCCTCAAACCCCAGCTGCATCTACGGGGCATCATGAACGACTGGAGCTAGACCAGCTCGCAACAAATTGCCGACCACCTCGGGCTTCGGGAGGGGTCGGGGGCGTTTAGGGTTTAGGGCTATCGGGTTTAAGGGTTTAAGGGTTTAAGGGTTTAGGGTTTAGGGGCTTAGGGTTTCAGGGGTTTAGGGGTTTAAGGGTTTAAGGTTTTAGGGGGGCGTAGGGTTTGGGATGTCGGGATGATCCTACAGCTAAGCAACCTTACTCAGACACCCGACGTCCAACAAAAAAGGAAAAGGACGTGGTCTGAGGGTGGTGGTTTAGGGTTTAGCGTTTAGGGGTTAGGGTTTAGGGTTTAGGCTTTAACCCTAAACCGGACAAGGCCCAAACGGGGCCTTCAACGCCTCTCAACAATTCGTAACATGATCCTCAAAAATCCCAGAAGGCAAAATACACAATATCCCTAAGCCCTGGACCCTAAACCCTTGACCTTGGTTGACATAGTAGCATATCTCAATGATGGCCCATATGCTCCCTTAGAGGATCCTTAGAAAGGGACCCCAAAACCTAAGGGTACAACCTTAGGGGTCCGAGGTAGAATCCTATGAATATCCCAAGGGCCTAGGGTTTAGGGTTTAGGGTTTAGGGAACCCTAAACCCCAAACCCTAAGCCCTGAAGAGCTGAGGCCGCCACTGCCTGCCCGAGCTGGCCCAAGCCGATCCTTGCTCGCGGTTCCGCTTCAAGTTAGGGTTTAGGGTTTAGGGTTCAGGGTTCAGGGTTCAGGGCTTAGGGTTTAGGATTTAGGGTTTAACCCTAAATTCTAACCCCTATGCTTCCAGGGACCTTTACCACGGGTTCCAGTAGGGGCTTTGGGTTTTAGGCCTGAGGTTCGACAACCAAATTGTTAGGTCCCTGGAAGTGTTTGGAAAGGAATGGCAAACATAATCCCCTAAATTGGTTTAGGGTTTAGGGTTTAGGGTTTAGGGTTTAGGGTTTAGGGTTTAGGGTTTAGGGTTTTCGGTTTTTGGCCATGAAGCTACTGCATTTGAGTGTCGGGGTGTGGTTCAGGGCTTGGTGTCTGTGACTTTGGTGGTTGGGGTGTAGCGTTTTCGGGCTACCAGCAGAACAAGACCCGTGAACCCTAACCCTGAACCCTGAACCCTGAACCCTAAACCCCTAAACCCCAAAACCCTAAGCCCTAAACCCTAGAACCCTAAAACCCTAAAACCATCAAAAGACCCTCAAACCCCAAACACTTAGACCCTCAACCCTTAAGGCATTTTTCGGGGTCAGTTGCCTCGGGCTCGGGAATTTCAAGGTCGAAAGTTGCTGGAAGCCCTGGCTATCGGCTTTGCAAGCTCAACCAGACTGCAGGGCCTTGAGGCCTAAGCCCTAAACCTTAAATGGTTTAGGGTTTCGGGTTTAGCGTTTAGGGTTTAGGGGCCCTAAGCCCTGAAACCACAACTCAAAAGCTCCCAAGGATCATGCCAACTCGGCCGGGCTTGGGCCAGTCCTTGCAAGTGATGGGCCGCTGTTTCACCCTAAACCCTAAACCCTAAACCCTAAACCCTAAACCCTAAACCCTAAACCCTGAACCCTAAACCCTAAACCCTAAACCCTAAACCCTAAACCCTTCTTCACAACTATTTTCGGGTCTCTTGCAGGGCTGTGTCTGCAGGAGTTTGTCAGGGCTTGCTGGATCTCAGTAGTAGAAAGGTAGGGCTGTCGGGTTTGGGGTTTGGGGTTTGTGGTTTGGGGTTGGGGTTTGGGGTTGAAGTGTAGGGTTTGGGGGTGATCCTCAAAGGCCTGGGTGCAGCAGCACATTCCCTGCTACTTGGAGGCTCATATGGGTACTTATAACCCCCATTATAGGTGGCTTAGGGTTTAGGGTTTAGGGTTTAGGGTTTAGGGTTTCGGGTTTCGGGTTTCGGGTTTATAGGGTTTAGGGTTTAGGGTTGAGGGTTTAGAATTTGGGGTTCAGGGTTTAGGGGGTTCATATGGGTAATTATAGCCCCAATTATAAGTCCGCTTATCACCCCCTTAGAGGACTTAGGGGAGCTTATAAGTACAGTTCTAGTTGGGTACCCTCCAGAGTTTTTTTTGGGGGGGTGGTACTGCGCATGCCCTAAACCCCAAAACTTTAAACCCTGAACCTTGAACCCTAAAGCCTAAACCCTAAATCCCCTCAGCCCTGAATTCTTAGCCCTAAACCCTACACCCTAAACCCTGAACCCTGGGCTTATAAGCCCTAATCCCGTAATTCCCTAAATTCCTACATTTCCCAAGCCCTAAATTCTCAACCCAAAGGTGAACCTTTCACCCTACTTGGAGGTTCAGGGTACTTATAACCACGCCTCACAGCCTAAGCATTGCGCTTGGGCGCCTTAGATGTACGTAACTTCTGAACCTCGAACAGCTCATCCAGCAGTCTCCGTACACATAAACCTGAACCCCTCAACACCGCACTCTCAACCCCTAAGGCCCTAAGCCCTCCATCGGAACTCTAAACCACCAATTCCTGAACCCTAAACCATCAACCCTGTAAAACTCTAAGCCCTCAGTTCCTACGGGGTAGCCCCCGATCCCTCAACCCCTTTGGAGGTTCATGGGTACTCATCAGATGGGGTATAGGTGTAGGGTAGCTATGGGTAGAAACGCTGATAAGCACCCGTGAACCTTCAAGTAGCCCTAAACCCTAAACCCTAAAACCTAAACCCTAAACCCTAAACCCTAAACCTAAACCCTAAACCCTAAACCTTAAGACCCTAAGCCCAAGGTGCGATCTGGGACGTTCCGGTCGCATGGCATCGAAGCTGCGCCCGCGCCACGCTGCCTTTGGCAGGCTGCGGCTCAGCGGGGCTTTAGGCTAAGGGGGTTTCTAGGGTGAAGGGTTTAGGGTTTAGGGTTTAGGGTTTAGGGTTTAGGGGTTAGGGGTTGATTTAGGGCTCCGGGCTCGGGATCATAGGGAGCGAAAAGCGGGCTTATCAGAGAGTCTATGGGGGTTTTGGGCTTGTGATGGGGCTTATTGTGGGTTGAGGTGCATGTCAAGGCCAGCCAGGGCTGTGGACCTGAACCACCACTCAGAGAGCCCCGGAGTTCTTAAGTGGGGTCTCGACGTATACAAATAGAAAGAAGCCTATATACGCATCTTAGCCATGTTCCTTAATTAAGGGCTATGCTCGGCTCTGTGGGTCAATCCTCTCAAATTTCCAGACGCTCCTCAACCTTTCTCTGTCTAAGCTCACAACACCCTTCTGTAAACCCGAAAGGCTAAACCATAAACCCTGCACCACTCCCAAGTACTGATCAGAGCCTAAGTAGTACCGTCACGGCGTATCTTCAGGGGTAGTGTCGCCTGAGCACGTGCCATAGACCCTAACACAGGTGCTTGAGATAGAATAGGGTTTTAGGGGGCTTTTATAGCATAATCATAAAGTGATCCTAAGGGAATCATATTCGTAATTTTTCCGAGCCCTAAACCCTGTGCACTTTTTGCTCGGAGCCAGTGAGGCCTCGAAGTGATGCCAAAGCATAGGCCCCTCGGCCACGGAGCCAAACGCTCATGGCTGACATCAAGAAAGGGTTTGGGGTTTTGGGATTTGGGGTTTAGGTGGGGGGGCGGGGTTGGATTGGGGGGGGGTTCATGTGAGCCGAAAACTGTGGCGAGGTCGGACTCTAGCATCAGCTGTGTGCGGCTTCAAGGGCGTGGCCTAGACAAGCGATCACAAGGCCGTGGTATCTAAAGGCAAGGTGTATTGCGCGCATGGCAACGCGAGCAAGGAATGATCCGAACATGTTCTGATTGTCTGATCCACCTATCCATCATCGCCCCTGATCCCTAAACCCTAAACAACCAACCCCAAACCCTACAAGTAGCTGAGCCCTCACCTATGGAGGGTTTTACGGTGCTTCACATGTCGTGTTTATGCCGAGCGACTTCAAGTCCGACGTCCTAATAACTATCAACACAGAGGGTTCAGGGTTTAGGGTTTAGGGTTTAATTAGGGCTCCTCTAGACAAGCCAGAGTTTCCCAATGTAGCCACCAATCTTAACTATAACTAGACTTTTTTGTTCAAAAGGGAGGGCACCCTGCGATTGACACAGAACCCGGTGATGGCAGCGTCATGTAAGCTCACAAGAACCCACTTGACATACCCCAACAAACCGTAAACCCCGCTTGAAGGATCAGGGGCACTTCTAACTAGGTTTGAAGTTCCCTAAATAGAAGTCTTCGCCATAGCTGCCTACTTATAACCCTACTTCTAAGTAACACGTGAACCTGCAAGTAGCCCTAAACCCTAACCCTTAAACCCTAAACCAACCCAAACTTTTGCCCCCAGAGTCTATGCAGGCCCGAAACAGGAGCTCCACCACTTTTGGGGCCCCCGACGGTGGCCCTGCAGCTATGACAGTCTCCTGGAAGTCTACACCCCTCGTAAGCCCCAGATTCTCCCACAGTCTCCGACTAACATGTACGAATGAAAATGGACAAGAAAAACAACAGTATACGTATATATATATATATACATATGTTCTATTAATATTTGTATATACATGTTGTGTTATGGTATGTTATGTCATGTTATGTTGTGTTAGGCTAGTTATGTTGTGTTGTGTTGTGTTGTGTTGTGTTGTGTTGTGTTGTGTTATGACATGTTATATTATGTACGCTATGCTAAGCATGTATGTATGATGATTTGTTGGGGGGATGGCAGTATATCCTATGACCCATTGTTGCAAACAGTGTTTAGGGTTTTCGTGGATAGGGTAGGTTGCAACGCGGGAATTTGGGCAGAAGGGCTTGCAGAAAGTCGGGTATCGGATTTCTGGACTGATTTAGCGCTTAGGGCTCAGAGTTTGGGATGTAGGGTGCGATGATTGTGAATCACCTACAGCATAAACAACAAAGTTCAATCAACCGTATTTCGATTTAAGAAAGGAACCGAGGACCGCCCCCCCCCCCCCCCCCCCCCCCACAAAAAAGGCTACTTGTTGAAAGGTCGCTCAAACCGAGGCCACTCACAGCTTTTTTTAGCAGCTGCCTTTTGAGTGCCAAGCTTTCGTCCCCATTGGGGACTCGTCAGGGCTTGGACAGCTGAAAATGCTGTATAACGACATGTGCATACACCCCTCAACTCAATGAACAGGATGCATGCACTTCGGATGAAGCTGACAGGTAAAAAATTTTTCAATCCCACCCTCAGCCACGCCTACGACTGAAAAATTTCCAAGTTTCCTGGTATCTGCGCCGAAAGAGATTCCGGCTAACAGTCCAACAAGTGCCAACCTGTACATCTGGAAGTCCGCGCTTTAGTAACGCAGAATGTTTGCGAAGCTTGCTTGAAATCCAAGCAGGTGACACATCTTTGTTGTAAGGAATTTTCAAGTGTACCTTCCTCACACTAGGGGCATGCTTCTTCGGACATCGCTGGTACTTGGCAATGATGACATCAAAGCGTTTCAGATCGAAACCTCTGTCTTTCAAACGGCGTTTGAAAAGCTTCAAGCTGGCCAAAGCATCTGCACAGAGACGATTTCGCTTCTGACATCTCAATGCCCCTCCAATCTGCAAGCTCTTGAGAGCGCTTGCGGGATGATTGCTGTGAGCAGGCACATAAAGATAAAGGTTCTGTGGCTTGTGAAAAAGACTCCAGTGGATCCTTCTGTTCGGCAAAATGGTAAGGGCAACATCCAGGAAATGAACATCACCGTGGGCAGATAAGTCAAACCTCAAAGACTCATGCCAAGAGTTCGCCAGTGAAGTCAACAAGCTTACATCTCCAGACCAAAGCAGTAACAAATCGTCAATGAAACGCCTGATCAGTTGCAACTGCTCTCCACCTTGCTGCAGCAAGAAATTGTCAAAGTGCCAGAGGTAGATGTTCGCAAGAATGCTCGCAACCGATAAACCCGTGGGTATCCCATCACGCGATTGGTACCAGCAGCCATCAAAAGAGACAACACAAGCTTCGAGCACGAGCTCAAGAGCCCGAATGATGAACTCACAGAGGCTCTGATTCGACATCCTCTGCCTCACGAATGGAGCAACCAAAGACATCATGTGGCGGCGGCATACCGACGGATAAAGGTTTACCACGTCAAGCGTAACCAGGCACATACTCGGAAGACAAGTGACATGATCAAGCTGCTGCAAAAGTTGGTCTGTTGATACAATCACTGAACTCAAACTGGACACAAGCGGGCCCAGCTTCTCAACCAGAAAAACTGAAAAAGGTTGGAACCAACAGTGACGAAGGTTGCAAATAGGCCTTGAACCAGTCGGGCACTTGTGCACCTTGACTAGTATGCGAAACGTACCGGCAGCTGTTTGACCAAAACTGCTGAGAACGAAAAGAATCTCAGCTCTCGAAAGCAGCCCTGAGGCAGCAAAATGATGTAGCATGGCGTCGGCAAATTGCTTGAGTTCTGCCATTTGACGACGTGCAACTGCCGGCGTGACCTGTGTATAACCCTGGGCAAGCTGCAAGTGGACTTGCTCAACAACCCAGGATCTCAAAACCAAGGCATCTCCAAGACCTTTGTCACAGTCAACAATACAAATGAATTCTGCGTGACTTCGCAGCCAACTCTGTGCTTTCCGATCCAACCAAGACTGATTTGACTTGAAAGGCTTGGGCTCAAACTCAGCCAGTTCCCGCAAGGCCAGTCTGACATAGGCGTCGATATGAGGATCACTTGGCGGTTGCCATGCACTTCTCAAACGACACTTGGACATTACAGCTGCATCAGGGTGAGCTGCAAAATGCTTCCGCAAAAGCAGCTGCCTCCGCAACTGACCCAAACCATCAATGACTCTTGGCACAGAAGTTGGCTTGCTAGTGGGAATGAACTTGCCACCTTTGGCAACATGCAAAAGAACGTATTTGGGAACGGTAATCACATCAGCAGGGACCAGGTTGTGAACTCCTTTGTAGACTTGCCTGTGCAGCAAAGCATAAAATCCTGTGCGCAAAGACTGGGCGACACAGAACCTGTAGAAGTCAATGCTGCATCTGTCTTCGTCAAGCCAAAAGGATCGGCCCCTGCGTCGATGGACTATTTTCCCTTTGATTTGCCTTTGGACTTGCCTTTGGACTTGCCTTTGCCAAAGCTTGCTCCTTTGCCCTTGCCTTTGCCTTTCCCTTTACCATTGTCCGACTTCTCCTTCTCAAACCTCACGCGTTTGCTCGAAGTGCTCCTGTGGCTACTTGGCGATCTTGGAGTCCGAGAAGGGGAACGGCTGTTCTTTAGGATCGACCTTGGTGTACTTGGCGTCGGGGATGGCGAACGCGGCTTTCTTCCTCGCCCTTTTGGCGTAGCTTCAAGTTTTCTGAAGGCTGCTTGGGAAGAGCTGGCGGATGAAGAAGGGACAATCTTTAGCTTGTGTTTCTGGCAAAGCTCGGCGTTGTCCTTGACAAGAAATGCTAACGCGCTGTCATCCTTGATCTTTGTAGGCCTCTTATGCTTTGCGTCCAGCTCTCTCTATCCTTGACCATTCGAGACTGAACTTTCGGCCTTTCTGCTCGCAGCAAGCTTTCTACGTACTGCTCTGCGCGAAGCTTTAACGCACCACAAATGTCTGCATCTGCAAAGCTGTGCTGAGCGAACCATGCATCCAACTTGTCAAGAAGTGACTGCTTCAGAGCGGTGCATTCAATCAGGCCATCATAGAGATTGACGCACTTCTCCTGATGCTGCACAATAAACTCGAAACATTCTTTGGCATGTCGTTCGCGCATTGCAGCCCAAGCATCAACCACAGAAAAGGGTGCGTCACTCATGTCATCACCTGCTGTCGGCATGGCTTGGGCAAGGTAGATTTTCGTGAACTGCCATCGGAACTCTGCTTCAGCTTTGAAGTGCGAGTGGAGTTGGCCCTCTTCAACAAGCTTTTTGTACTTCTCAAGCAATTTGGTTTGCGTCTCCCAAGCGCTGAGAAGCTGCCTCACTTCCTTTGTGAAATCATCGAAGATCTTGCGTAAGGCAGGATCCACTCCATCCAGCAAGTCTTGAGGTTGCTGGAACAACTTAGACTTCAAAGCCTCACTGGCAGCCACCTTGTCTTCACGCGACTGCGAAGTCTGCACTTGCGCTTGCAACTCCTTCAATTGGCTCATGAGCAACTGGTTTTGCTGCAACAAGAGCAATTCAACACCGCTAAGTTCACCAGTCGGACTTGGTTGTCGTAACCTTCCGGCTGCTGTGAAGCCAGGCAAACGCGGAGCTGGAGTTCTGGGCGAACCCCGATCTTGGTGAGTGAAGGCTGGATTCCCCATGCTCATAGGCATGCCACCTACAGGTGCACCCATAGCACCTGCAGGCGCTGACCCATCTGCAGAAGGAACCTCCATGGCGAACGCCTAAAGTCTGCAAAGCACTACTTGTTGAAAGGTCGCTCAAACCGAGGCCACTCACAGCTTTTTTAGCAGCTGCCTTTTGAGTGCCAAGCTTTCGTCCCCATTGGGGACTCGTCAGGGCTTGGACAGCTGAAAATGCTGTATAACGACATGTGCATACACCCCTCAACTCAATGAACAGGATGCATGCACTTCGGATGAAAAATTTTTTACATGGCCCAATGAAGATCTAGTAGCAAGTTTCGTGGTGGAGGGCTTGTGGTTGAGTGGTGCACGGCTCATGGCATTTATGAAGCTGAGGCGCAGGGCTTGGCCCATTCTCGTGTCTGGTAGCTGCTGTGTCGCTTATATAGGGTTTAGGGTTTAGGGTTTTAGAGCCCTGCACCCTAAGTCCTAACCTAAACTTGAGCCCAAACCCTGAGCCCTGACTTAAGCTAAACCCCCCAAAAACCCTGAACCCTAAACCCTAAACCCCAAACCCTAAACCCTAAACCCCAAGCGGTAAGCCCTAAGCCCTAAGCCCTACACTGAACCTTCATTGAAGCGAAACCCTGAACGGATGGCACTTGGGACCTCAACCGAACCCCTAAGCCACGGGTTTAGGGTTTAGGGTTTAGGGTTTAGGGTTCAGGGTTCAGGGTTTAAGGCTAAGGGTTTAGGGTTTAGGGTTAACGCCATTTGGACACAACAACCCCCTCCACTTCATATTCAAGACCCTAAACACTCAACCCTAAACCCTAACTGATAGCGTTGGGGCGGGGGGGAGGGGGGCAGCAACTTCTTCGACCCGGAGGGGGGAATATGAGCTAAACCCCTACACCCTAAAACCATGAATAAACCCCAAACCCTAGAATCCCAAAACCCTGAACTCGAAACCCCGAAACCCTAACCTCCACGGCCGTTTGACACACATGGGCAGTTCTCTAAACTGGGGTCCCCGAAAAAAGGGATCCTCTTGTGGTAAGGTGGCGTACGATAACAGGGACCGCAAAAAAAAGCGAACCCAATTTAAACTGAATAGAAGCCCCTTAAAGGCCCCCAAAAAGGGTACCCGCTTTGTCGGAAACCCCCTAAACCCTAAACCCCAAACCCCACCCTAAACCCTAAACCCTAAACCCTAAACCTAAACCCTAAACCCTAAACCCTAAACTACGCGTCAAAGGCGTGGGGGAGGGAGGGGGGTGGGCGCCTCCATGCCCGCCATGTCTCGGGAGAGTAGGGCCAACCCTTGGTTGGGGTTGAGGGTTTAGGGTTTAGGGTTTAGGGTCTAGGGATTAGGGTTTAGGGTTTAGGGTTCAGGGTTTAGGGTTCACGGTTCAGGGGTTGAGGGGTGTAGGGCGTTAGGGTTGAGAGTTGAGGTTGAGGGGTTTAGGGCTTTGTGGTTTATGGGGTTTACAGGGTTTATGGGGTTTAAGGGGTTTATAGGGCTTGTAGGGTTTGTAGGCTTTTATAGGGCTTATAGGGTTTTACAGGGTTTGTAGTATTTGTAGGGTTTATAGGGTTTACAGGGAGCATAGGGTGTGTAGGGTTTACAGGGTTTAGGGTGTACAGGGTTGGGGTTTTGGGCCTCTCGGCTGGCCCTCGGTATAGAGCTTCGGCTTGATGTTCACCACGCCGACTCGAGTGTCAAAGTGTATGAGGTGCTGCGGCTTGGCGTTCTTTCCACTATCTCTTGGAGGAAGGGCCAAGGGGCAGGTTTAGGGTTTAGGGTTTAGGGTCTTGGGGTTTAGGGTTTAAAGATTAGGGTATACCAAGGTCACTTTTGATTGCTCTAAGGGGGGAGGGTGGAGATGTGTGACTGTGTCTTGTGTTGCTGCTGCCTCCGAATGCTAGGAGTACTGCAGCAACAGGTTCTGATGGATACGAGCAACGAACTTGAAACCATGCGAGCGCTCCTTGGTTCTGCTAGAAACAGGTCGAAGGCCTTGTTTCATTTTGGGAGCTCGTGCCCGTAGGGATACCCTAAACCTTAAACCTTAAACCCTACATCCTAAACCCTAAACCCTAAACCTAAACCCTAAACCCTAAACCCCAAACCCTCCTGAAGGCGCGTCTGAGCGCAGAGCGAAGGCTGCGCCCGGTCTCGGCCGCTTCTCTGCACAAAGCCCATGCCAAGGCTCGCCTGCTTGGAGTTGATGGTACTTAGTAACGAATTCTAACAGAACTTAGGGTTTAGGGTTTAAGGTTTAGGGGTATTTACAACCCACTTATCAGCCCCTTAAGTACCGTAATATGGTGATAAGTACAGTTTATATCTAGTTACTAAGTACCATGAACCTCCAAGTGCTGAGAGTTGGCGCGGGGGGGGGGGGGGGGGGGTGGGGTTGGAGGGTGAGGGTTCAGGGCTTAGGGTTTAAGGTTAGGGTTCAGGGCTCAGGGTTTCGGGCACTGGTGGGAGGGTGCATGGGTGCATGGTTTAGGGTCAGCAGGAATTTCGTTGTCGTCCGGCAGATGACACAAGCGCAGGAACATGGTTCGATGGTTTGCTCCTGGGGAATCAACTCAGGCAATCCCAGATGACGCCGTTCTCCCTGAAGATGACGGCCGAGTGGTAGGGCGCACTCCAGAACTGGGGAAGCTCGTGCCATGACACCCAGATATCCAGCCTTCTCAGGCTTAAGCTTTGCGGGCTCACAGCTCTTAGAAACCCTACCTGCGTCCTCTTGGGGTGTTCCAAATTTTCGCCCATGAAAATTAGATTGACTCGAGCGTAGGCAAGTCTCTTGTTGTTCCTAGGCGTGGGGATGTGGGTCTCAGGTGATTGAGTGCTAAGGTTCGGTCGCAGGCTCATGCTAAGGGTTTCGAGCTCATGATACTCCAATGCTCTAGGACGTTTAGGCTGGGAGGATGCTGGCTTCAAGGTATCTTAGGGTCTTAGGGTTTAGGGTTTAGGGTTTAGGGATCGGGCGACCCCCAAACCTTGAAACCCTTAAACTCTAAAACCCTAAACGGAAAAATAACAAAAGCCTGCTGCTTTGACGGGCCAGCCTCGTGAGCCAAGCAAATCCGCTGGCAGTTTCCCACAATTGATCCACCCTAGACCGTATACCCTCAACCCTAAAACCTAAAACCTAACCCCCCCCCCCCCCCTCCGAATCCCTGAGCTACCAAAGGGAGCGGGCGCATGCAGGTTTATGGTTTAAAGAGAGGGTATAGGGGGCCTGAGGGGGCCCTTCCAAGCCTGAGTTTTGGTGCGGGTTTAGGTTTTAGGGTTTAGGCAAGGGCCCAGGCAACCTTCTTTCCACACATATTCATATAAACGCGATCAGTACCTGAAATGAACACCACATGGAAACCACAAAGGCACTCCACTTGAGACTCGTAAACCCTAAACCCAAAGACCCCAAACCCAGAAAGCCCAAACCAAAACCCAAAACTCTAGGCCCAAAACCCAAAACCAAACTCGAAACCCAAAACCCAAAACCCAAACTCAACATCCAAAACCCAAACCCTAAACTCTAAAACCCGAATCCTAAACCCTAGCCCTAAACCCTAAACCCTAGCCCCAAACCCAAAACCTCCCACACCCGCGGCCCCGCCCGTAGCCGCGGGATGCACCAGTCAAGAGCGCCACGCGTGCACAGGGCGGGGCGGCCGCCTGGTTCAGGGTTTAGGGTTTAGGGCTAGGGTTTAGGGTTTAGGGTTTTGGGTTTAGGGCTAGGGTTTGGTTCAGAGTTTAGGGCTAGGGTTTGGTTCAGAGTTTCTAGGCTCCACGCCCATCGGGATGATACAACCTTTTTGGGGGGATTGGAGATAAGATATCTGACTGTAGTATGCTATGGCGGGATTATCATAGGCGATAGCCGTGCCCACTGCTAACTCTAAAACCCCCTAACCCCCAAGTCCGTAACCGAAAACTGTCAGGGGAGGGCGGTTATCCTTACTAGTATGAAGGGGGGCGGGATTGTGCTAAGTTTGGGTACATACGGGTCCATAATCCCTAAACCCTAAACCCTAGTTGGGAAAGTTCCCAGATGGTCAGAGGGCCCCCGGCCGGCATCACTCGGAGCAGCTCACGCTGACATCGCCGGCGTCCCTGACGTGGGGCCATGCTCTACCAATCATCGGTTCCCCTACCGCCCCCCTCTATACTACCCCGCCCCCAGGTTCCCTCCATAATGTTGGACAATAGGTTATGTAAGGGGGGATCTCTAGGGGGGGGGGGGGGGGTAGTATAAAGGGGAGACTATAGGGGCCATAATTTTTAGAGCAGGGCTTTAGCATTTTTAGTATAAGTATAAAGGGAAAATAAGGGAATATTGTGATATATATATATAATCAGCGACTGACAAAACCGTGTGGTCATCGGATGTTGCGCAACATGCTTGGTGGGCCCCAATTGCCGATTTTCAAGGACCAGCACCCCGACAAATTACAGCTCTCTTCGATTATAAGGGGTATCGCTTTAGGGTTGGCCCTGCCGACTTTCGAGGAAATGAACATATCAAAAACCAGAGGATTGGATCTACATTAGCTTTGTCCGATGCTCATATATTGATGTTTTAAAGTAAGGTTTGTCTACGTGGAGGCGGGAGGGAGCCTGGGGTTTTTGGTAGGGCTTGTCGGGTTTACAGGGTTTTTGGGGTTCATAGGGCTTATTCGGAGGTTCATGGGTGCGTATAAGAAGGTTTATTCGTGCGGTAGCTATGGTTATGCAGCTATGGTTATAACTATTCCGTGCCCAGATGAACCTCCCAGGACGGGCTATTCTAGCCGATAATCCCTTAAAAAGGCCCTTTATAGGGTTCATTAGGGGGCTTTTTAGCCCTAATCGCCCATCCTGGTCCCAGCAGGGACAAGTTCAAGCCAATTGGCGAAGCTTGGTTCTCCCCACGAAGGGGTTCACGCGCACCCCATCAAACCTAAAATCCTGAACCCGAGACCCTAAACCTACCGAAAAATCTGTGTACCTACAGTTTCGTAGTAAGTACCCGTTTTTTGGTAGGTAGAACCCTCAACCCCAAACCCTACATCCTAAACCCTAAGCCCCAAAT